TTGCTTCCTTTTTACTTCCATACCTAGACATATATAGAACCCTAGGTAGAGCCCCTGTAGCTCTTTAGAGCTAATCTCTTAGGAGCCCCATGGTCTAAGGTCATTAGGTTCTAAACACAAAGCTTTGATCATTCCAAACATGCACATGACACACACACAATTGTGCCTGTCAGCTGCCAATCACCACTTACTCTATAAACCCCTGTTGATCACTCTGTTTGTGATCAAACATCAAGGTATTGATTGACATACAACTCACTACTCTCCAAATTGCTTGTTGCCTGTTTGGTTATTTGACCATCAATATTTGTTGGATTGTGTTGCCCTTACAACCAGCTTGCTTGAACAACAGGAAGCAAAGCCATCCAGCCTTAAAATGAGAAGGCCTACTGTATGTCCATTGCTAACCAGCCAGAATGTATAACTTCTGAACAAGATAATAGCAAATCAAGGTTTTCTTTATTTACTTCACTACTTCTCAGTAGGATATTTATCAGTCACCATTTAACATTCCCTTCCAGGGTTAGGATTCATCGTCAGATGACTGGACAAGTATCTCCTTCTTTGTGGTGATAGTCAGTTCCTTACTTCTTATTATTATATGCCAGTGAAAACATGACTTGTTCCTCTGTTGCAAGCTTTCAACCTAGGTCTTGTTCAGGGTTCCAACCATAACTTTTGTGAAATAAAGGATCTAATAATTTATTTACCTCTTCTGGCATGTGTAAGCAAGATAGGAAGAGCTAGGATGAAGAGATGGTTGTCAAGGAGATTGGTGTGGAGTTGAGGCAGCATGCTCCTTCCAGCAGGACTGCTTGAGTGGCTTCCAGGGATACCAAGGTGAAGGGGAAAGGAAAGGCACCAAAGTGTGGTGCTTCTCCCCCATCTGTGAGGGCACTAGGTCTAGCAAGGTTGCCACACACAAATCCCAAACAATAGATGAAGTGCTGGGGGGTCTACTGTGGTTGAAAGCAGCTGTAACCAGCAATACTGGTTAATATCCAAGTCACCAGGGCCAGCTGGATTATTGGGGGGGGGTCCCAGGGGATGTTATACATCAGTTATAGATAGCTGAAAAGTGTAGCAAGAGTTGTGGAGTCAAGGTAAGTTTATGGGGGCAGGGTGTTCAGGGGTGTGTAGAAGGGTATTGTGAGGGCAACACAATCCAACAATCATTGATGATCAAATAACCAAACAGGCAACGAGCAAATTGGAGAGTAGTGAGTTGTACATCAATCAATGCCTTGACATTTGTTCACAAACAGAGGGATCAACAGGGTTGTTATAGAGTGAGTGGGTGATCAGCAGCCAACAGGCATGATTGTGTGTGTGTTGTGTGCATGTTTGGAATGATCAAAGCTTTGTGTTTAGAACCTAATGACCTTGGACTGTGGGGTTCCTAAGAGATTAGCTCTAAAGAGCTACAGGGGCTCTACCTAGGGTTCTATATATGTCTAGGTATGGAAGTAAAAGGAAGCAAAGTCTGTGGCTGACTATACAGCTTGCTTAGGGCAGGCACCTCATGTCTCTTGTCTGGTCAGTCCTGCACAATCTATGACTGACATCTCATGTTCTGGGATCTGTCCTTCCTGGAGTTGGGTGATTGTATAATTGGTGGTTGTTTGGGGTGTCATGCCATGTGACTGTGCTCTGATCGTTGTTGATTGCAGCTGTTCACAATTGATTTTAGGGACATCCCCTGACATCACCCCCTTCTTAAGGGTTGTTGTCCACAACAACATGTTGTGTAATTGACCAGGGCATCACCCATCCATCCAGTCAAAGAGGACTCAGTTCATTTCAGTGTAGTTTTCAAGTCATCAGAATCATAGCTGATTGAAATCCATACATGCAATTCATTTTGGTGCCTCTGGGTGTCGTCAGTGAAAATTGCGGATTGCTTGTCATGCACCTTCAAGGTTTCTGGGTGGTTCCCATGTGTTTTCTGTGTTTGAGTAGCCTTTCCATTTGACAAGGTATTTGAATTGGCCACTCTTTCATAGACAACTGTCCTCAATCTGTTTGACTTCCCAAATGTTTTCACCATCTGTGTCCAGATCAGGTGGCAGAGGTGGTGTTTCTTTATGTCCAGGTATGTCACTGTCATGATAGGGTTGTAATTTGGAAACATTGAATACCGTGTGTAGTTGCCACAAATCAGGAAGTTTGATCTCATACACATTGTTGTTGATTTTACATGTGATCATGAATGGTCCAAACCATTTGTTGTCCAATTTCTTTGCTGGTCATTTTATTTTGATGTCTTTGTCATTGGGCCATACCTTGTCCCCTATGTTGTATGTTATTGTGGTTTGTCAGTGTTGATCATAGAATTGGGCCATGTCATCTGCTGCCTTTGCCAATGCAGCCTTGCATTTATTTTCAATTTGCTGCATCATTCCTGTGAATTCTTCAACTCCTGCAATTGTGACCTCTTGTATTGGTTCAATACCCATTTGTGGGTTACATCCTGTGTCGGCCATGAATGGTGAGTGTTGCATTCCAACATGTATATGATTGTTGTATGCAAATTTGGCACATGCAAGCCAATCAGCCCAATCATCCTGTCGATGATTTACAAAGAGTCGGAGATACTGTTCCAGTTCCTGGTTGACACATTCGGTCTATCCATTGCTCTGCAGATGGTATGCTGTCAATGCCAATATTTTGATGCCTAAGAGACTGTTAAGTTCACGCATGTATTTCAATATGAATTGTGTTCCACAATTGCTAATGATCTCATGAGGCAGTCCATGATTTTTCCATACATTGTCACAAAAAAGACATGTGATTCCTGCCAACATTACTTCACTTTGTGTTGCTGCAAAGTGAGCATGTTTGGTGAGTAGATTGATGGCAACAAATATTGCATTGCTTGCTGGGAGTTGTGTTATGAGGTCAACTGTAATGATTTCCCATCATGCATTTCGGATCCAATTTGGCATGAGGTTTCCAACAGGCCATTGTGGGTACCTCTTGGTATGATTGCATGCATCACATGTTTGAACATATTCTCCAATGAATCAGTCCATGTTTGGCCACCAGTAGTTATGTGTGACAAGCTCCAGCATTTTTCAATGTCCTGGGTGTCCTGCAATTTGCAAATCATGGTGTAGTTTGACAATTTTGGCACGAAGTGCATTGTTCCATGGAGTGTATACTTTTCCATTATAGAGCACTAATTCCTGTTCTTTGCTCCATTTGTTTGCAACAATTGTAGACATTTTGTCATTGTGTAGTGCTTTGAGTGCCTGTACCACTGGTTTGTCCATGTCATGCATCTGTTGTATTTCATAAAGGAGCCCATTTTCCTCTCCCGCAATAAGGGTGTGTCCCCAATGCACAGCTGCAATCATGAAGATGTCTGGTTTGAGCAGTACAACATTCTCATTTTCATGCATTCCATGATTGTGGTTGGTGCATCATGATAGCACATCCAGTTTTCCACTGGATCATCCTGGTTGGGGTTCTAATGTATAGTTGAATCATGACAGGTAGAGTGACCATTGTGCCTGTTGTCTTGTGAGTTCTGCAATTTGGCAAAATATTCTAGATTCTGGTGATCGGTAAGGATGTGTATCTTATTGGGGGTGCCTTCTAGGAAGTGTCTCCATTCTTCAAATGCATGTATGATTGCAAGCAGTTCTTTGTCATGTATTTCATAGCTACATTCCACATCCGACAGGCTCTTTGACCTGAACACCACTGGATGCCACTCATCATCTGTGTTCAGCTGCAACAAGATGGCTCCAATTGCATAGTCCAATGCATCCACTTTGACTCAGAATGGTCTGTTGTCCTGTGGTAGTGCCAGTATTGGTGCTGATGTTATAGCCATTTTCAATGCCTCAGATGCTTGGTTGTGCTTTGCTTCCCATGTCCAGACATTGTCTTTTCATGTCAAATCATGTAGTGGATGTGCTATGCTGGAAAACCCACATATGAAACATCAGTAGAAGTTACAAAACCCAATGAAACTTCGGATGTCTTTCACATTCTGTGGTGTCAGCCATTCAGCAACACCTGCAATCTTGACTGGGTCCATCTCAATGTTGCCTTGACTGATAATGAGTCCCAGGTGTTTGATCCTCATCTGCTCAAAATTGCATTTTTCGGCCTTGAGGTATAGGTGGTACATCCGTAAGACATCAAGCATACATCTTATGATCTGTCAATGTTTGTCCAGTGTTTCTGTGAATATGAGGATGTTGTCCATGTATACCACAATGACTCCTTCATCAATGAGTTCTTGAAATATGTTGTTCATCATCATCTGGAATGTCCTTGGCAAGTTGACAAGTCCAAAGAACATGACAAGTGGTTCAAACAGTCCACAATTGGTGCGGAAGGCAGCTTTCCATTTGTCTCTCTCTTGGATCTGAATGTTGTTGTATCCCCAATGTATGTCTAGTTTTGTGAAGTATTGTGCATGACATAGTTTGTTTACTAGGTCCAATATGAGTGGGATTGGGTAACAATTTTTGATTGTCATCTCATTCAGTCATTGATAATCTCGTACCAATCATAGTGTCCCATCTTTTTTTCTTTACAAAAAATACTGGTGATGCCATGGGTGATTTCAATGGTCAGATACATCCACTTGCAAGGTTTTCCTTCAGGAATTTGTCCAATTTGTGTTGTTCATTGGACAAAAGTGGGTACACCTTTGTGCTACATGGCTCTGATCTTGACTTCAGTTCAATTGCATGATCCCACACCCTTGTTTTTGGTAGTTGATCAAACAACTTTTTTGAAAATATGTCTTTGTAGTCATGATAAGCCATCAGCACCATATCATCAAACATTCTTCCCTGTCAGTCTTCAGCTGGTCATGCAGCTGCAAGACATGCTGAGATGCTTTTGGCAGCACAAATTATTGTTTCATAATCATCATCATCTGTGCCATCATCTTCCTGTGCTATTGCAGGCAAGGGTTGTTTCTGCTGTTCTGCCTGTTGTTTTGCCATATGTATGCATATTGAGCACTGTTCAGGGCATTGTGTCATCAACACCTTTCCTGTCATCCAGTCAATGTCCACGTTGTGCTGCATGAGCCATGGATGTCCAATCAATACTTCTTTATACCCAAGTCCTGTTACATGGAATGTTGTGTGTTCTGTATGTTCTCTGTATCCTGTGATGAGGTCAACTGTGTGTTGGATTGCTCCAGTCTTGTTGGGCATTCCATTGATGTTATAGACTGGTCGTGCACATTCTGGAAGAAGGAAGTTGATTTTTTCATCTTTCATCATGCTGTCATATTCTGACATGGTAGAGGTTTTTCTTTATTGCAGGTTTGTTTGGAGAGCTGATCTTCTGTAAGGGCAACATGATCCAATTGTTGATGATCAAATAACCAAACAGGCGATAAGCAATTTGGAGAGTAGTGAGTCATATGTCAATCAATACCTTGATGTTTGTTCATAAACAGAGTGATCAACAGGGGTTTATTGAGTAAGTGGTGATTGGCAGCTGACAGGCACAATTGTGTGTGTGTCATGTGCATGTTTAGAAGGATCAAAGCTTTGTGTTTAGAACCTAATGACCTTGGACTGTGGGGTTCCTAAGAGATTAGCTCTAAAGAGCTACAGGGGCTCTACCTAGGGTTCTATATATGTCTAGGTATGGAAGTAAAAGGAAGCAAAGTCTGTGGCTGACTATACAGCTTGCTTAGGGCAGGCACCTCATGTCTCTTGTCTGGTTGGTCCTGCACAATCTATGACTGACATCTCATGTTCTGGTATCTGTCCTTCTTGGAATTGGGTGATTGTAGTATTGCCTGTCATTTGGGGTGTCATGCCATGTGACTGTGCTCTGCTTGTTGTTGATTGCAGCTCTCTGCAATTGATTTTAGGGATGTCCCCTGATAGACCATGGGACAGTAGACAATTTCTGCTTCATTGCCTTCAACAATTTGCCAAATATAGTGGAACAGCACAGCAATGTGCTTGGTGCATGGGTGATAAGCTGCATCCTTTGATAGTGTGATTGCACCTTGATTATTACAAAAGAGTGTGGTGGTCTCAGATTTGCCTGTAGTTGGGTATAGCTCATTCATGAGTTTACAAAGCCAGATCAATTCCTTGGAGGCATGCATAAGTGGAACATATTCAGCTTTGGTACTGGAGAGAGCAATAATAGGTTGCTTTGTTGAGCTCCAGGATATTGCACCATTGCCAAGAAAGAATGTGAAGCCTGAAATGGAATGCCAATGTGCTTGGCTTGCCCAATCAGAGTCAGAGTAGCCAGTGAGCATATTCCCTTCAGGTGAATTTCCAAGAATAAGTGAATGATTCACAGTTCTTAAAAGGTATTGGAATATATGAGTGATTGCCTTCATGTGTGTAGTATGGGGCTTCTCCAGGAACTGCAAAAGGAATGTGACTGCATATTGAATATTAGGCCTTGTCATGATGGCTGCATACATTAATGCGCCCAGGCTAAATTGATATTTTGCATGTTCTGATTTGTCAAGTAGTGTTGGGGAAAGTGCAGGTGACTCATAATTGAGATCCAGACCAGGCTCCATTGGCATTGTAATGTGGGATGCTTCATTGAGTCCGATTTGCTCAATGATGTCCTCAATATAGGTCTTCTGGCTGAGAGCAATTGTTCACATCTCAAGATTATGCATAATATGACTTCCCAGTAGCCAATTGATCTCTCCAAGATCCACAAGTTCGAAGTGCTTGTTCATTTCATTGACAAAGTTGGTGTTGAGTGTGGCACTGGGTGATATTATGGTGAAGTCATCTGTTGCAACACCAACAATAATGCACTTGTTTGCATCTGTCATATTTTGGTAGAAGACAGCATTGTCTGCCTCACAAACAGTAAAGCTGAGATTGGTAAAGGTTTTGCAGAGATGTTGGTACCAGAGTCTTCCTCCTCACTTTGTACCATAAAACCCTTTGTTGAGCTTCGCAACAAGTCTCCATCCTTTGCATAGTGTGGAGGTAGTTCCATGTAGACATCTTCAGTCATTGGTGCATTGAGATAGGCATTCTTGACATCAGCTTGCCTGAGGACATCACCTTGCATAGCTGCCATGGATAGAAGTGCTTGATGTGTAGTAGGCTTGATGACTGGAGCATATGTATCATAGTAATCAACTCCATGCCTTGGAGTAAAGCCATGTGCAACCAGTCTAGCCTTGTATTTGACAGGGTTGCCATGTTCATCTCTTTTGATTCTGAATGCATATTGGCTGCTGACAATGTTTGTGCCAGGAGGTGCTTCAACTATTGTCCATGTGTTGAGCTTTTTGATTTGTTTGAGTTTGGCTTGTATTCCTTCTCTCCATTTATTGCTTTTACCATTAGGTTAGGCCAGAGCTTCATCCAGGGTATTTGGTTCACTGCCATAACTTGCTGTTAAGGCAAATTCATTGTAGCTGGTATTGACTTCAAAACCTGATTGTTGAAATAGCTCATTGAGGTCCTCTTCAGCAATAGTAGCTACCATGCCTGCAAGTGGTCTATACTGCCCAGGTTGGTGTGTTACTCTCTTGCCATGTCCAAAATCTCCATTAGATGGGATGAGCCCATCACTGCAAGGTTGCTGGACTTGTGCTGGCTGTGGAGTGTTTTCTCGTGGTGTGGCAGGTGGTGTAGTGAGTGGAGACAATGGTTCTTCATGCTTGCATTGCTTGTTTGGTATCTCCTCTTGAGCCACATATTCTCTTTGAGTTTCTTCACTGAACTCTGGTAGGTTGACTGTTACTGGATCCTCTTCCCCTCCCTCAATCATCATGGGTTTGGTGTATTGACCAAGTGCTGCATTTTGTGTGGGGTACATATTCTGCTCAATGGTGACTCTGTGCTTGCCAGGCCAATATATTCTGTAGCCTTTGGATCCTTTGTCGAAACCAAGGAAGTGACCTTTTACTGCCTGAGACTGTGTCTTCTTGGCATTCAGGTTCTTGACCCAGACTTGAGTGCTGAATAGTAACATTGTAGCAAGGTTGGGTTTATCACCTGTTGCTATTTCATATGGTGTCTTCCCATGAGGTAAGTGGGATGTTGTTGCTCTGTTGTGCATATAGGCGGCATGGCAAATAGCTTCAGCCCACAGGAATTTTGGTAATCCCAATGCCTTGAGTAGGCAGCGCATATCTGAGATGAGGATTCTGTTTATGACTTCTGCTGCTCCATTGGATTGGGGTGAGTCATGTGTGGTGAGGTGCCAGATTGTGCCTTGACTGGCAGTGTGCTGCATAAACTCTTGTGAGAGGTATTCTCCACCTTAATCTGTGCTGAGTATGGAAATTTGTTTCTTATTGCAATGCTTCTTCAGCCATGCCTCATAGTCTTTGTAGGCCTCAAGTGCATCTGACTTCCAAGATAGGAATTTAACTTGCACTTCATGGCTGTGGGAATCCACCAGTACTTGCATGTACCATGCTCCATGGAGTGAGGTAAGCTCATGTGGTCCCCAAAGATCTGCATTGATCTTGCTGCCATAGTGAGCTCCACATGAGTGCTGGCTTGTCTTGGGAAAAGGTTGCCAAATGGCTTTACTTTCTCTACATTCATTGCAAGGGGTGACTGCAGAATTGATATCCATATCTAGACCTGGATGGCACTGGAGGTGATCATCACCTGGCATCAGTATAGATAGCAAGGGCACATCTCAGCCTTGCTTAGTCAGCAATCCACTAGGGTTCTGATGTCAACTCTTCCATATTGGGACATGTTCATTAAACACACTTGCTACTCTCCTACACCTCATACAGTATTCTATCCAGCATACTGGCAAACCCCATGTGCACATATATGTACCCTGCATTAAAGAGGAACAAAAGTAAGTGGCAAGTTCACTTTTATAGCTTTGTCTCACAGTTTAGCAGCAGAGAGCCACAATATTCATAGTAAGAGATCCACCCAAGCACCAGAATCACCTGTCATTCTTGATGAGAGTGAAGATGGTGGGACCCTTCCTGAGCTACATGGATGAATTACATTACTTACACTTACTTGCCCTTGAACACTTTATCATCTATACCAATGACAATGTATCTGAATGCTCCAAAGATCATTCAGATGCAGAAGGATGGTTAGAGTTGATGCAGGAATGCCATGCACCACACCATGTGAATGGTGCCAGAGCTGAACCTCTGCAAGTCCACTTCAAAAGAAGCACCATCCAACATCATTTGTTCAGTTGGTATAGCTTGGAAGCAGAGGAGGTTTTGATTGCTTAGGTCCAATGACAAGCCATCAGCATGGCAGGGCCACCTATGCCAGCAAAGAGCATGGTACAAGGAGAAGAGGCCAGGACACAGGTGTGCCCCTAAATATGTTATCAGTGGGACCATTGCTAATCATCCCACAGAATTGCTTTCTTCCAAAGCCAGGCCACATCACGTTGTTGGATCTGGCTGTGATTGCATGTCTGGTCTAAGAGTATATCTGCCTTGCATTGATTCCAATTACAAAGCTTGATGCCCAATCAATGTGTAGTATGAGCTCATGACTCTTCTCACATGGTCAACCCACCCAGCCGAAAAAAACAACAACCTGTCCACTGTTAGTGGTCAAGCCCCAGCAATGTGTCGGATGACAACAACAAAGGCACTGAGTCCCACTCAACTCAAATATCCAGCAAATATGCTCTAAAGCCTGGTGGTGTGAAAGTTAAAGGGGATCAGACTCCAGCTCCCACCCCAGTAAAACACCAAGGGGGATCCAAGGCAAAGATGAGCAACCTCACTCCTCATTCACAAAACATAGTTTGTTGGACAAATGTGTGCTATCATGCGGCATTGACTCTTGAAGATGGCTTTCCCGACCCAATGATGAGTTCCTCCTGGATCTGTTGTTTCTTCAAAAAATCATGTGAACATATACGGCCTGTCTCAGATGCATTACCACACACTCTTCAAAGTGAACAAGCGATATGCTGCTGAGATTCACAATATAGTGAGGGTGACAAGGTTGATTTCTGCAGGCTCACTAATATTGCAACAGGTTGAGCAGTGCATAGCCCAACTGCGGGGAGAGGTCAAGACAGTGGCAGAAGGTGTTGTTCTTCAATGTTACAATCTGCCCATACTCAGTCTGGGGAGCCAGAACTCTGTGGCCCAAGAGATCAAATGGCTGACTACTGATGATTTGTTCATCTTTGCTGACCATGGGGTATGTATGCCAATCCTTCAATCACACCATGCACTGATGCAAACCCGTAAACAGGCTGCTCTGCCACAATTGGCTTATGAACATAATGTCATTGATTATGTTTACGCTGGTGCATTCTTCAAGGACCAAAGGAGTGTTGGAGTGCACTTTAAAGAATCCTTTGCCAAAGAGCCACCAGCATTGCTTGCTTTGATTGTAACTGCTGTATGTCCCCCTGAATCATGCCCTCAAGGAACTATCTAATGGCAGGGCAAGATCCATTGTGCTCTTGATCAATGGGCCACCAGAGCAAAGAAATCAGGAGCAGAACACAACTTTTCTGCAGCTGAGTGGTCTGATGAATACAATTGCCATTTGGAAGATATTCAAGAGTATTCTGTTGCATTTCCCAAAAAGTATGCTAAGTGAATGCAGCAATTTCTCACAAATTCAATGTATGTTGAGATACCAACAATACCCTTCCAAACTTATGCCATGACTCCAGGGCTGCCAGCAGCACTGAATACCCCTGCATAGGGCAAGCCAAGCGCAAAGCTGGAGGACTTGTCACACAACTCTGAGCTGTGAATCTCCATGATGACATATCCTTCAGTTCTTTCAGTACTATGAGTACTATAAAACTGTAGAAACGTGAGTGTGAGAATAGTAACGCATATGTGGTATACAATACAATTGATGCTGCGCATACAGTAGATAAAAGGGGAATAGAATATAGATGGTGGTGGAAAGAGAATGAGAAGTGAGCGCTTGTTACAGCAGGAGACTTAGTGCACAGGGTAAGGGAGAAATGCTGACGTGATCATTCAACAGCAAATTGGACAGCCATCATTCACCACCGACTCGGGAGTTGTCAGCACCCATTTCTGGATGACAATATCACTTTCTTTCCATATATAACGAAGTATTCGATCGGATAATTATAATCCCACTCCCGGATGACTCGTTGCAGAGTCACAGAACCGCAGCCTGAGGGTTCTTGGTGTCTTTGGGGCAACTTTGTCAGTGAATTCCCGGAGACCATCCCGTCCGTATACATTTCCTTTACACCAGCTGACAGATCTGGGGCTTATATAACACGGTACGACTTGTAATTGACTACGCGAACTGTACAATTACTCCTGGAATACTCGGGCACTGAATTGTATGCAATCGTCTGATCGTTTGTATACCCACACGGTCCTCCCAAGCGAAACTATTCTAGAATCCATTCTCCAGCACCCACTCGATCATGGCGGCATAAGTCCCCGGCGCGGACAAGTGCAAGTTGACATTATGCCCTGTCAGCTCGGGTGCGTAGTAGCTGTACTTGCTGGCGGGGAAGAGCGCCGTGCCCGTTTCTTGCAAGATCGTCTGGTTTGAGGGCTGGAGAGCCTAGCAGTTCCCCTACGTTCACTATCAATTTAACATGTACGGCAGTAGAAAAAAAGGCCTCACTCCGCAGAATGGCAAATTCTGTGCCCCCGTCACAAGCAGCACCGGACCTGTAAAGTTACTTGCTGCACCAGCGACTGTCTCCAAGGTGAACATTACCCCCACCGTTACAGGCTGTGGCATTGCCGCGTCGTATACGAACACACTCTCGTCATACCCCGGATAATAATAGAAGTTCATCTGAGCAGCCTGCGGAACAGTAGGGAGTAGGTACGTGCTTGCCAGCGAGGCGCACGCGTAGGGTGCGACCTGCGCAGCGGAGGACCACAAGCCCGAAGCAAGGAAGAGTGGTACCGCTCCCCCATAAGCCGAAAATCCGGTAGCGATTGTCCCGTCAACTGCTGCCGGAGTGCGGGAAGCGAGCGCCGTTGCTTGGACGGAACCGTAAGAGTGGCCAGCAAGCAGGATCTTGTTGTATCCCGTGCCTGTCAACGTCCCGGAACGGAGGAGCGATGCGATCGAGCTAAGGATCTGTACGTCCGTATCTGCTTGGACGACATTGAGGCCGTCAATCGGGTGCTCGGACAGACCCGTTCCCAGTCGATCGTATCGGAAGGTGGTATATCCCGCAGCAGAGGCGGCCCAGACGTACCTATACAATGAAATTTAAAGAAATTGTGCCAGTTAGCTGAGTGTTGGAAGGAAGAAGAGCAAGAACGCACGAATACAGTTCAGGATCATACTGAAAGTCCCAGTACTGCGAGTCGAAAGGAATCCCATGCACCAGCAACTGCACCGTTCCTTCATGCTCGTACCCGAACAGAGGCTGGCACAGAGTCCCGCTAATCAAATAGCTACCCGCGCTGTTGCTCGCGCTTGCCAGCCCCGTGGGTGTGTGGTACCCCGCGGTGAAGTTCGTAGGAGAGGTGATATAGGTCTGGAAGAGATTTGTAATAATCGTCTGGTTGGGAGAGGGCCCGATGTTGCTCGAGAAGGGGACAATGGTGTACGTGCACGTGAGAAGGGTGATGTTGTAGGTTGAGCGGGTGCAGACGGCCGATGGAGGACCGGGAACGAGGCTGGAGCTGATGGGGAAGACGCTGGGCAACTGCTGGGCGAGGGCGCCGACCGTCGAAAGAGCCACGGAGAGAAAGGCGAGCATCTTGATGTTGAGCTTGGGCTAGGGCGGGTATGGAGAGACAGCGATCTCGAGGTTGACAGAGGTTGACAGCGACATATTATACGATCAACGTGTGTGAAAATATCCTGACACCACCAGAAAGAACGGAATAAAATGTCGGAGCAAGACGGGAAAATTACGCCAGCAATGGATCAGGCAATTCATCCAATGCGTGAAGATTGACGAGAATGCGTGAGAGAAGCATTGAAAATCGGACGGTGGTGCCAGCACCTCATGCCAAGGGATTATCTTGCAGGAGAAAACTCATACACAAAGTAAGTCTTGATAGAGGATATCACATCCACAATCCAGCCAGTGACAAAAGAGTTTGGTAACGAGATCTGTAGAAATGGGGTTGCGTAGGATGCGGTGAAGGGATAGGCGCTTGCGAATCGAGCAGTCATTTTCATTCATAAGCGTGCCTCAAACGAGGGTCCAACCGACATGCATATGGTCCCGTGAAAGATTCTAGTTCCAACCATATGCATGCACAAAGATTGAAGAGTACTGCCTGTTGAGATGCGTCGAAGCGCATGAATATGGGCCCTGCCACCAGTGAGAGGTGGACCTCAAGTCGTGGCTAGGGCAAAAGCACGAACGCACTTCAACAATAATTCAAGGTCCACGAAATCTTATCATTAAAGACGCCCTCCGCTCATTACCAGCTGTACGAGTGAAGCAAAGGGAAGTTGTCCGTGGAGAGGGAAGTTGAATCGTCCCTGATCGTTTCGGAGGCGATCCCGCATAAACTTGAGCGCTTCGGCAGGGATCCTCGGCATTACGGATTTTGGGACCGTAACAACCTTTCCTGCTGATGCACTGGAGTGATTGCCTGATGCTTTCAACAGTGATTACTGGCTACTGTTAGCTACCTTTCCCAGGACGTGCATGAGGGAAATCAATGAGGGGATCTTTGGGGATCATGAATATTGGGCTATTAATACTTTGAGCATTTTGGAGCCTCGTAACAATCTTTTCTGGAGAATAAGTGCAGGTCTGTCATAGTGGGTCTGACAGGATGCTCTACCCATTATTGGATACACTTTCTATTAAGTATATAAGGCAAACTGATTCAGGGAAGAGGGTGACCATTACAGGGATTATTGCCAGGCAGTATACAGTACTAGTATTCGGGGCAGTTCTTTTTCCCCACCTTTGGGCGGATAAGGGTTCGCCCTTTAATGACTGCTCACCTGAACTGTTAAGGCCCTTTAATTTGCCTCCCCTCAAGTAACGGTAGGAGTACGGCAGAATTACCCGACTTGGATGGAGGCACCAAGTTATTCCGGCTAGAATGAAGCCAATCAGACTGTTTGGGATACTTAAACCTTTGTCATTTCGCAACTACAAACTGCTTTCACCTCAACGATAAACAGGAAACGATGGTCTCACCCACTCAACACCCACCATCGGGCATCAAAGTCCTCATCGTCGGCGCTGGATTCGGAGGAATAACGGCTGCCATCGAGTGCCATAACAAGGGGCACCAAGTCATCGTCCTCGAGGCCTTTCCTGAGCTTAAGATACTCGGTGCGCTCTCTTCCTTTTCCTTACTCAACCACTACTAACACACCAGCGCTCTGGGATGTCTAGGCGATGTGATCTCTCTTGGTCCGAACGCAGGTCGTATCATCGAGCGCTGGGGAAATGGCTCAGTCGCACGCGAACTTCTGCCAATCACCCATAACAACAAGGAACTCGTAATGCACCGATTCGACGGCCCTGTTGTCACGCGTACCCCCGTAACGGGGCTGAAGTTCGGCTCACCAGCGTTCAACGGACACAGAGGCGAGCTTCATCGGTGCTTCTTCCGCTTCGCACAGCAAGAAGGGATCGACATACGCCTGAACTCACGTGTTGTCGAGTATTGGGAAGAACCGGACAAGGCGGGTGTAGTACTCGAGAGCGGCGAGGGGCTTGAGGCGGACGTTGTCGTTGGTGCCGATGGAGTGAAGAGCAAGGCACGCCAACTGGTACTCGGATACGACGACAAGCCGCGTTCATCGGGTTACGCGATTTGGAGGACGTGGTTCACCAGCGAGGAGCTGGCGAAGGACCCTCTGACGAAGTTCTTCTCAGCAGAAGATACTCACCACGGTTGGATCGGGCCGGAGGTCGGTCTTCGTTCATTTCTCAGTCGATCAGCGTAGTTAATTCTCGCAGGTTCACTTCCTCGCCGCCTCACTCAAAGGCGGGAAAGACGTGTCCTGGGTCTGCACGCACAAGGACGAGAAGGACATAGAAGAGTCCTACCAGTTCCCAGGCAAGATCGAGGACGTACTCAAGGTCGTCGGTGACTGGGACCCTGTTGTCGTCAGCCTTGTCAAGCATACACCGGAGAAGAACATGGTCGATTGGAAGCTGGTTTATCGTGATCCGCTCCCAACGTGGATCAGCAAGGGTGCGAGGATCTGTATCCTTGGTGATGCGGCGCATCCGGTGAGTAGAGCGAGCGTCGGACAAATGACAAGATGCTGACATTCGACTCACAGTTCCTCCCCACCTCGATCCAAGGCGCGTCCCAAGCGATGGAAGATGGTGTCGTCCTCGCCTGTGCCCTCTTCTCTGCCGGCAAGTCCCGTGTCCCGCTCGGCGTCCGTGCATACGAGCGTATCCGGTATGAGCGCTGCCGCCGCGCGCAGTTGATGGGCGAATCCACACGGGACAAGTGGCACAAGGCCGACTTCGATAACCTCATGTCCTCGGAAGAGAACATGCGCGCGATGGACCTCCCGCACCCGCCCTGGCTATTCTGGCACGATGCGGAAAAGCACACGCTGGATGTGTTTCCCGAAGTGGCGAAGGATATCGAGAGCGGCAAGTTTGGGACGGACGAGATCGGATTCCAAACTAGCGTGCTAAGAAGAGAGAACGGAAAGATCGTCGTAGGGAATAGAAGCTTTGAGGAGCCTTCAGGAGAGGAACTCGTACAGGTTCTTGTGAAAGAACAAGTCACGGCAGCACTGTAGAATAACTCTGTAAGTGGTTCCATATTCAGTTTACAGGTTGCGCTTGAACAAAGTAGCTTATATTGTCCCTGCTGATCTTGATTGTGCATAGCTGTTATAAGGAATGATGATAACAATACCTAACCCTACTCTGACCCTTTCATGATCGACACTGTTTATCAGTTGTCTAGCCAGAGTTGATCATGTCAAGACATGCAGACAATCAATTCAATATATTGAGCTTATACCAGTGCATAGAGGGATACAACAGTTTCTCAACTGACGGGGAAAGATCTCTTTGACTATGGAATAAATATTCACTGGCCAAAGTTAAGTTGAACTCCTTCAGCTCCTGTGCAGTTTGATGGGAGAGTGCATCCTTGCTTCTGTTCCCCTATGCTGGACATCTAGGCCTCAGCATCAGAAAGGTCGAGCTCAGGGGCGGCCTGGATGGTCAAATCAATTATGTTGACCTTGTTTGAAGGCGACCTGCGGAGTCTCTTCATAGCACGTTCAAGGGGGTTCTCGGCTCCACGGTCTTCCACTTTGGCGTACGCACGCTTGTATCCTCCGTTTGCCTGCCCCGCGAAAATGCCCTGGTCCAATTGCGGGTGATACCAAACCGTTCCTTCCACCTTGCCTTCGGGGAGGAACCATGCGCGAGCCATTCCATCGCCGTGCCCAGCCATGGGACCTTCCGGGATCTTGTAGCGGTCCGCCCACTGCGATTCCACTTGGAGGATCTCGATGATGGTGTTCTTTTTTCCTGGTCCGGTAACCAGGTTAACAACTGCTTCTCGTGGCCTTTCCATCGGAGTCGGGACCCAGTGCCTGTCCAAGTTCGAACGCGACTGATTCGAGACTTGACACAGGTCTTGGCTGGGCATTTTTTGGAATAATGTCTTTTGAGAGAAGACCCGCGCGTGAAAGTTTGACCACAGCTATCGCAGAGGGGGATCTGGGCGATATGTCCGCCGAAGAGAGCCTGCTCGACTGGAAGTTCGCATTTCATAATGCGAGTATGTTCTTCCGAAACGTGGGAGAAACGATGTCGAGCAAGATCCTGCTCGCCCTTGACATAAACCGCGCATGTCCAAGATGGATCATCGGGGTGCGGATAGCCGCAACACATTATAGTCCTGTTGGAGAGGAGGACTTGAGACAAATTCGTGTGTTTGAGCGACTTGAAAGAGGAGACCTCCTTGTGGGCGTGGGACGCCTTTTTCGGAGAGCAGGACAGCCTCTTCCGAGTGGGGGAGGTCGATAGACCAGACTTATCTGGGGTACTGACGGCTGTGACCGATGGAGATGATGCAACTATTTCAGTAAGTCAGTGTAATCCAAACCGTTTCACCATCCATCTCTGAGTGTACATCTTGATCGATTTGGGTCGTTTCGCACTCAGTCCAGTTCAGTGTAATCTAGTAGTCCACAATTTCATGTATTGCGTTCCTCCTTCCTCCCTAGTATGACAGACGGCAGACTCGGAATACACGGAATACAACCTGTAGAATGATCAGCGAATGCACCGTAGACGCGAAACACAGAGACGTACAGCTAAACTACAATGTCATAAGTGTGAACAATGAATCGAGTCACCGTTCATAGTATTCTAGGCGAGCATCAGTACATAAGCATATAACGCATAGAAAAAACTCACCAGGCGAGCGGGAAGAGACAGCCACAAGTAACAGCGGAGAAAAACTTCTTGAAGAGAGCAACGAAATCCGTCGCTCCATTGATAGTATTCGCCTCTTCATGAACGTTTCAGCTACGATTGTTGTGGTGCGAGTTGTTGTTGTTGCGATAGGTAGTGTTGTTCGAATGGATGATATTCGTCGTGCAGTTGTTGTTGATGACAATCGGCGACGGCTGGAACTCGACATTCGGGATAGCAGTGGTAGGAGCCATGGTCGAAAAAGGAATAGCAGCGGACAAGGCGTTGGAAGAGCTGTGTGAGGCGTAGCTGGGCGGAAAGAAGTGGTCGATGTACGCTTGACGGCCTTGCATGTAGGCGTCATACGCAACGTCCTCTGAACGCGCATTAGAAAACATATTGCAAAGAAATAAGCGCGTACCGTATTTGTTCACAGCATCTGTTCCACCACCGAGATCTGAAGTCGAAGAGGAATAGGTAGCAGAGATAGAAACGTTGTCCATGGTGAGCAGGTAGAGGAAGCGAGTCTGACTTGAGCGGAGCTTTCGATTGTGCGGTTGAATGAAGGGCGAATGTGGGCGGAGGGATGCAGCGTTCTGCGATACTTGTTGGGTTTGTGCGAGCGATTTGACTGTCGTCAAGTCGCGAGCGAGCGTCAGTACGTTCGAACGAGCACCTGGAGCACCTGGTCAGCACGTAGTTAGGAAATCAATTGCCATGAACTCACGTTCATGTCCAGTTGCTGTGTTTTGAACTCAGGAAAGCGTGGTGACAGGCGTTGTCGATGTGGGAATTAAGAGTGAACCGCACAAGCTTATGCCTTCGTCGTACAATCGTGCGAACACACTAATTTGCTTGTAGGCATACGCCGCGCGACCTCGTTCGATCTGCGTACTCTGCCCGACATATGCAGCTTTCTGGCACCAGATGTCCCTCCAAAAGGTATATGACTTTAACGTGCGTTACAAAGTGATACGATGGCTTCCTTACACGGACCATCACAATTCCGTCCAAGGCAAGCCTATACCGACCCACTTCTCTCTCCACCACCACCACCTCCTCCTCCCGGCCCAGCCCCATCATCGCCATTCCCCGCTACTCCATCATACAAAGCCCGTCCTGTTGGCCCACGCTACTCCCAGTCTCGCGGGAAACCCCATCCTCCGGGGGGGATCAAGTTGCATAAGGGAGAGTGGAAGTTACTCCTTCTGGTGTGTGCGGTTGCGGTGGTAGTGAGGTTCTGGAGACTGGGATGGCCTGACAGCGTCATGTGAGTCCTTTACCCCCAATATACTATGAAAGGTTACTGACTATTACGTTCTTCAATTTTGCGCAATAGATTCGACGAAGTCCATTTTGGAAAGTTCGCTAGCAAGTATGTCAAGAGCCAGTACTATGTTGACGTCCACCCTCCGCTTGCAAAGCTGCTCATCACTTTTGCCGCCTTCGTAAGCGGCTACGACGGGAACTTCGATTCAAAGATATCGGAAAGTGCGTACCTACGTTTCTTGACTTAGTACACCTCTGAATTCTATTCAGATTGTACGAACACGTCCCGTACGTCGCTATGCGCTCCTTGCCAGCGACACTCGGTGTTCTCCTCGTACCCATCACCTACCTCACCCTGCGCGCCCTAGACTGCCGCGCGGACACAGCGCTCCTCGGCTCCCTGTTCATAACCTTCGAGAACGGTCTTCTCACCCAATCCCGTCTAATCCTCCTCGACTCTCCCCTCCTGTTCTTCACCGCTCTGACGATCTTCTTCTGGGTCGGGTTCGCCAACGAGAACCGCGCCGCGCCGTTCACGCATTCATGGTGGGTCTGGCTCACCTGCGTCGGGCTAAGCCTAGGCGCAGTCGTGAGCTGCAAATGGGTAGGCCTATTCACGATTGCCACCATCGGTCTGTGCACTATCCGCCAGCTCTGGGTCCTCCTCGGCGACACCCGCGTCTCCATCGCCCTCTGGATCCGGCACTTCCTCGCTCGCGCCCTATGCCTCATTGCCGTGCCAGCAACGTTCTACATGGCCATGTTCGAGCTGCATTTCCTGATCCTGAGCAACTCGGGCGACGGCGACGGGTTCATGAGCGCCGAGTTCCAGCACACCCTCAACGGGAAGAAGATGGCGGATACGTATGCAGATGTAGGTGTAGGGAGCAAGATCGTCATGCGGCACTGGAATACGAACGGAGGGTTCCTGCACTCGCATGATCATTCCTACCCCGGGGGGTCCAAGCGTGCGTCTCTCCCCTTCTCTTCACCACATGCTAACCGTACCCGCAGAACAACAAATCACCCCTATCCGCATCTGGATGTGAACAACGGATGGCGTATCCTCAACGCCACTTGGGACAACCACAGCCCTGGGTACGATTGGGAGACGGAGCCCTTCCGCGCCCTCGCAGACGGGGACATGATCAAGCTGCAACATATTGCTATCTCCAAAATGCTGCACTCTCACGACATCCGTCCCCCCGTATCCGAAGTGGATTTCCAGAACGAAGTCTCTGGGTACGGATTCACCGGTTTCTCCGGCGACGCGAATGATTACTGGGTCGTGGAGATCGCCGAAGGGGACAGGCGTGATCGCGCGAGCTCGAAACGTGTTCGCACGCTGAGGACACTTTTCAAGCTTAAGCATGCGCTTACTGGATGCTACCTCTTTAGTCATAAGGTCAAACTACCCGACTGGGGGTACGAGCAGCAGGAAGTGACGTGTAACAAGAATGCGGTCAGGGCGAACAGCCTCTGGTTCATAGAGTTGAGCGAGCATAATAAGTGTACGTCTCTTATCTCAGTTTCTTGGGCGCAGCTGAGGGGAGAACAGTGCCGGCCACATCACCAAAGGTCAACTACCGCAAGCCTGGATTCTTGAGCAAGTTCTTGGAACTGCAGCAGGTTATGTGGACTACGAACGCCGGCTTCACTGAACGGCATGCATTTGACTGCAGGCCCAACACCTGGCCCATCCTCCGGCGGGGAATTGTCAGTCCTTCCTACGCAGTGCGGACTCCAGCTAACATATCTCATCCAGAACTTCTGGGTGAAAGACCATCGTCAAATCTACCTGCTGGGTAACCCCGTTGTGTGGTACCTCTCCACCCTCGCCGTCGCGCTCTACTTCTTCGCCCGGGGCATGCTCATCCTCCGCGCCAAACGCGGCTATAAAGACTTCAACAACTCCGGCCTGGTGTTCTACGACAACCTGTGCTCTTTCCTCGTCCTCGGGTGGGCGCTACACTATGCCCCGTTCTTCCTCATGGCCCGCCAGCTGTTTTTGCACCATTATTTCCCTGCCCTGTGGTTTGCAGTGCTCCTCAGCGCAGCGGTGTACGATATGGCTACGTCTAAGCTCAAGCCTAGGTACAGGGTGCAGGTCGCCCTTGTTCTTGTTGGCCTAGCAGTGTGGACATACTCGCACTTCAATCCCCTCGTATACGGAAGCGTATGGACGCGGGGGAAATGCGAGAGCTCAAAGTGGCTCAAGACGTTGGACTTTGCCTGCGGGGACTTTTACCCTAACGTGAGCCTATGCCAGCCGAGTGCACGCAGACTATCCTGACCTTCTCTGCAGAAAGACGACTGCTACCATTCTGCGCCGAGCGCAAAGCCCACTCCTCCCCGTGTGACTGGTGTGGCGGAGCATCATGCTGGCCATGTTCTCGTGTAGAATATCGTGGAGCCCGAGCCAGACTCCTCAGCTATAATTGCCACTGCAGAAAGCGCGGGCAACGTTCCTCAACCAGGGCGGGACGTATTCCAAGACCATCCAGACGTGATCCAGCCTCTCAGTCCTAGCTCGAGTGTGGCGTTTGAGGTTGGACCCCAAGAAATGCCAGAGACGAGTTCTGCTGCTGCTGCGAAGGAGAGGGAGGAGAATAAGATCGAAAAGCCACCGCCTTTACCTGCTAACGAACCGGAGAACTCGAGTCCTGATTCGGATGCTCAGACGCTGGACTAGGTGGGCTTGCCAGCGAGAGGTAGTTGGATCCAGCGAGGGAGGGCGTGAGTTGGGCAGGTAAGTAGTGTGAATGAGCGGACTTGGTTTATATGCACGGCTGTATTATGCTACTCCGTTACCTCGCTCGGAATAAACTATTAGGAGTTCCAGAGGGCCGTCAATAGATTACAACTGGGCTGCGGGTCCCAGGCACTGCACAGTTCAATACAAGAATGGAGACTAGCGCCTCTTCTTCTGCACCAAGGTAAAGCCGTCATCATCCACCACCGGCTCTGGCTTTTCCTTCCTCTCGACCAGCCTGGGCGCTTCATCTTGCATCTCTACATCACCTTCCTCCTCTTCTCCCTCCTCGTCATCGTCATCCCCGTCGACCTCTTTCCGCACCTGTGCTGTCACACGAGTTCGCCCCGCTCGTTCTGCCTGCTCTTCTAATAGTTTGACAGAGGGCTCCATCTCGGGGGAAGCGAGGTTTTCCCATGTGAGAATAAGGGCACGGGAGAGCGCCAGGGCAGACTCGTCTTCTACCAGAGTGTCGAACTCCTCATCCATGATCTGGATGCCACGTCAACGGCGGCAAGATCATGAAAGGGAAAGGTGTACCTTGAAGCAACAGCTCCTCAACATCATCTACTCCCACACGCTTACTCTGGAAAAGTTCAAGGATTTCGCTCGCAAACAGTGGGACATTCTCCTTCCCTTGTGCTGTTGATGTCTGGAGGGCGAGGCGGAGTGCAGGCCAGAGCCGGAGATGGGCAAGGATGGCACGGGCGAAGAGGGTGAGCTGGGCGGGTGTAACGGCTGATGGTGCTGCTCCTGCGGGTGTTGATGTTGATGCCATAATTGTTTTTTTTGTTGGATTGATAGGGTGTAGGCAACTGAGAAAGTACTAGTATGTGTTGGCCTACAAGAGAAGCGCTCACAGAAAATTCAAGTAAGGGGCTGTGCAAGGGTCCATCTATAGTACTTTTTTTGGCTAATTATTTTGGTTTAGACTGCCCACGTCAACTGAGCTCAACTTCAAGCTTGGTCCGAACAAGGAACGCTTAGTGCCGTTGCAGCACGAAGAGCGGCAAAGGCCGCTCAATTATCCGGAGACTCAGGCATAGATGCGGTTTAGTCTTCTGTGACTTCTCGTTCCTCTGTTCGTCCCGCAGGACCTCCAGCGCCAGAACAAGAACTTGGCTCAAGCTCCGAAGACGAACCGGCCATCCCGTCCCCAACTTCCTCCCCTGAATCCCCGAAGAATAGAAAACGGAAACCTATACCCGAACAGAAGCCGAGAAAGAAAAGAAAGCCCTCTCCCGTTGATGGCATCGATGATGAGACACGGCCTGCGTTCCCTCAGTACACGGCAAGGGCGAGGGCGTATTCGCCTGCCGCGCCGGTGGGGCTGGGGGACGACCTTGACGGGAACATGGATGTGCAATCAGGGATAGATGAAGAAGACGATGTTTTGAGTGAAATGGAAGGAAGAGCTGCCTGAACCTGCCCCGTACGTTTATCAGTTCCACAGTCCTGCATGCCTCTGATCCAAGAATCAGGCCGCAGCGCCCCGCCCTCTCTTACCTCCCGCTTCTACCTTCCTCCCTTCGTCTTCCTCATTATTAGAGCATCCTCCTTCCGCATTACCCCCTCTTAACCTCAAATGCGACAGTCCCGCCATTCTTCTTGCACTAAAGAACGGCGAGACACTTGCCTTCGTTGGCACATGCCGCCTTGTGGTCATCAAGGGGAAGTTGGAACTGTTAGGAACTGTGCTTGAAGTGGACCCGGAATGCACGACACACGAGATCTAGGCTCCGAAAAGTCACACAATTCCCGTCCTTACGGCACTCACTTCCTCAAAATCGTCACGCACTCTCCCACTGCCGCCGAATCTCGAAAATCAAACCGGAACGGCGGATGCCCTTGTTGTTCTTCAGGAACTGCATTCAAACCTCGAAGGCCTCGGCCGGATTGTCACTCCATTCTCTGGAGCCTTCTCCCCTCCATCTCCTTCCTCGACAGCAGACTGGGGCCTTGCAGGATTCTATCCCCTCACGAGCGATACCACCCCCTTCCGCCATACCGGGCTCACTACCTCGGTTCCTCCTCGCCCAAGTCTGACCCGGCACTCTACCTCTCTGCTGTCGAAGCGCTTCTCCAGAGTTTCAGGCTGGAATTGCAATTCCCTTTCCTGATGGAAGCGGAGAATGGGAGAGTTAGCGACGTAGTGCCTCTAGTGGTGAACACCATGGGTTGGACAAAAGGCCTCGGTGCGCGTCTGCTCGAACAAGTGGAGCAACTCGTCCAGCCTACGCATGTGTTTGAGTTCCCGGATTCGGGCGAGACGGCGCACCCGCTAGATCAGTTTCCGTCCTCCACCTTAACACCTACTGGCAACGGCGATGACAGGCAAGTGTATACCCTGGAGCCTGTCCAGCCCAGCCCACGGCTATCAGCGTACAATGCCCCTCTTCTCCGAGCGCTCAGTACGATGTCCTACCTCCACTCGCACCCCCCGCAAGAAGGGCAAAGCACCCGATGGTCCACCACACCGCTGTGTGCTCAGCTGCCATACGAAGTCGACCTCCGCACCGCATTCGACAAGATCGTCCTAGTCGGTCCTGGATCGGAGGATGTCGTCCCCGAAGAACTGGGGACGGTACTCAACGGCTCCCTGGTCGCGTTCCTAGCCGTCGATGAGGGTTCGGAACCCCTGCCCGCCCATGAAGGTCACTTGATCCCGTATGAGCAGTGCGCCCCTGCTCCTTCACCTTTCACTTCCCATTGCTTAGGCCTCGGCGTTATTCGTTCATTCGACAAAGAGTCGGGCAAGGCACTTGTACTCACCCCAGTCCCACTCTCGACACTCGCCAAAGCCAGAGTGCTGGTCAAGGGTGAGCTGGAACTCCCGATCTGGGCATTCCTCGACCCTAAGGAAGAAGAAGAACAGAGTGGGGTTGCTGGGGTAGAGTGGGGGAGGGTGCCCTATGTAGAATTCGGGGGTGTGAGAGGAGTTGGAGGTGAGAGGACGAGGGTGAGAAGAGACTGGCGCCTGAGTTGAGATTTGGATTAGAGTTCCCGCTGGGTGCGTTGGGGTTGGGGTTGGATGCGTGCTGCACCGGCCCGGTAGGTGAGATCGGAGGGGACATAGCGCGCAAAGAGTTCGTACTTGGCAAGGAAGGGAGAGGCGGAGAGGGCGCCGGGCGGCGGGAGGAGTGCTTTCGCCCCGGGGGGGTCACAGTGGGTAGTGGGTACCGGTACTCCGGCTTGCGTGGCTGTGGCGCCGGCTGGAGCAGGCGCGGTGGTAGGGCTGACGGGGGTGAGCGGGGAAGGAGGAGAGATGCGGACTCCTCCAGACTGTGCTCCCTCTGCGCTTGGCGCCGCATTCACAGCACCGGAAGGGCGCTGGATGCTCCTGGCAACTCTTTCCCTGGGTGGGCTCTAGGCCGGCGGGGGCACAACCACCGCGGCTGCTGATGCGGCCGGAACGGTTGAGCGACTCGGGCATGTCGGGCTGAGAGGCGTCCCTCCAGCTGATGCACCATTGCCATTTCCGTTTCCGTTTCCATTTCCATTCCCGTTCCCGTTCCCATTCCCACTCCCATTTCCGTTACCACCAGTGAAGGCGCCGCTCGATGGATCTGCATCACCTCCCTGGGAGGTCCGCTGCCGATCCCTCCCCCTGCAAAAAGCAGACTTCGGCGGTGGGTCAACAGGTACGATTGGTCCTTGGCGTCTGCCGCTGCCGGATACTGCTGGGGGAGAGGTGGGGGGAGGTGGGGGAGACAGTGCTCTGGGCGGGGTCAGCCGCCGCTTGGATGGAGGGTGCAGGATTGGAGGGATTAGAGTTGGGATTAGATGAGACGGCTATTCGCTTACTGTATATGTAGTATATTGCGCAACTTGGGCAGCAAAGAGCGGAGCTCGGCCATCGTAGAACGTTTCCGGATCCTGCTTGATGAGATGGCGAAGAGCTCCAATCAGCAGAACAAGAGAAAGAGCGTCTGTATGAAGATCGCCTCGAAGTCCAGCGCATGATCCGCGACCTGGAGGTACATCTCCGACGGCTGTGGAAAGAAGCCAGCCACTTCCAGCAAGATCTATCGGATCTACAGGCGAAGAAGGACCGGTTTTGAGCAAAGAGCGGTGAGGAGAGGGTGCAAAGCGAACGTCAGAGACAGCAGGCCGCGACAGAAGTTAGGATCGTTCAAGAACAGCTCAAGCCGAAGCTCGGAAATGGGACGCAGAAGTGGCAGAACATGTGTTCCTGTTCCTGTATGACCATGCTCCCCCTGACCAGAGCAGAGCACACAGGCACAGGCATAATGCGATGAACGAAGTGCTCTATTGCCAGTTCTGTCTTAGAGTAGTAAAAGTAGAGTACCATCGTGACAAGGGCAGGTTGAACGTGGGCGTATGTACGCTGACGAACGGACGCTGGTGGGCCGGCCGGTCAGGTATTGGACTGAAATTGAAACCATTGCGTCCGATCAGCCAAAGATCTTCCAACTCTGCCATTGGGCGCTATGTAGCTTGGTCAGCGGCGAAAGCAGGAACCAGCCTGTACAATATGCACCTGGAGAATCACGTTGTTCCCCCGTAGTCCAACAAGGATGTGCTATCGCTCCCTCACTCGACCCGTCTCTCTTTCACCTCAACCGATACTCACCCAACATTGTTCAAAGCTCAACCGATGACACAACCCTTATCTTCTCTAGTCACTCTGCCGCTCGCAGACGCAGTATGTGGCGCGAGGCGAACTGAGCGGGTCGTGGCACCAGGCGATGAGTGACGCCGTCAAAGCGAGGGCGAAACAATCGTGACATCCGCGGACAAGCCGGCTTCTTCTATGACCGTGAAGAAGGCACAGTAGTATTGGGGGAAGACCGAGTCAAGAAGTGAAAGGACGTTGCGGTATGAGATCCTGAAGAGGTTGAGGCGAAGAACAAGCTTAACATTCACGCGCTCACAGCGTGAGTGTGGAGGCGGAGACAAAACGAACATCCTCACGGTGCAGTGATTCGCCCACAGATGCACCCAGATGGACCGAAGTGCCGACAACTTCAACGATTGCTCTCCATCAGACCTCACTATCTAGGAGCGGTAAACCGTAGGACAGTAGGTATATCGTTGGGCATCATAAGCGCGTCAAAGTACGCAAGTGTGCAACCGCGTCGCTGGACGAACTGGCGTCTCAGAAATATGTTCTTCCTGGAGCTTCGGGAAGCATTGCCCTTTCAGGCCAGGCATGCGCCTACCGTCGTCAGCCTCCCCTCCTCTTTGCCCCCTCGAAAAATCTCGCTCATGTCCGCCCAGACCAACACCCGTAACCATTCAAGCTATTGCAACCAGTGTGAGTTGTCCTTCGCGACCAAGGCGCAAACTTAGTAACCAAACTCTAATGCATGATGTTTTACACACAAATCAGAAGTGAGGTTAACCGGCTCAATATTAACACATTTAGGAATAGAATCGTTCACAGTACAATAACCTGTTTCCGACCGGAATTCCCCCGCATACTCCCTCCTTCTCCTCTTCTCTCCGGTTCAAGCCGCCATTTTCGTGAGGCCGGCTAAGTGATGGGTAGGAAGCGAATGCAAGTTGTGGTGTCGATACGAGAGCAGCTGTGTTAGCGAGGGTCGTTCGGCCTGAGGGAGCAACGTGAGAGGTGGTCGGGCAGTCTGAGGGAGCATCGGGGGATACGACTGTGGTCGCGTGTGCGTCGGGAGCATAGGAATCAGTCATAGGAAAGAAAAGCAAGAGCCGTCATGGTGGTCACGTCGGTCCAAGTAGTCGTGGCAATGAGTCGTAGTCTAGTAGTCGTAGAGAGCGCAGTAGCCTCGTTCTTGTGACCGCTTAAGGTTCGTCGTCGATGTTATTCTTGGCAGCCTTCTCATTGATGATCTTGGCCTGCATGCGAACGAGGTTCTTGAAGCAGACTAGCATGCGCAGGGCTTCGCGCCGGAATGCCACGTGCGTCATGTCGGTCCTGCCCAGACGAGACTTGGGCTCGTTCCAGGGCATGATGCAGCTCTTCACTCTCGTCACGTGATTGGGGTATTGACCTTGCATCACGGCAACATTGAGCTCCTTCGTCACTGGAACCATGTAGAGTGCCGGTTCGGTCCCCTTGATAGTGATACACGGCACCGTCCACTGTTTGAGCTTCTTCAACCCGCTCTCCAGCCGTTGTTCGTTGTTGCACTGGAAAGCGGCGATGGCTTCGGCGATGACCTGAGCTTGCGGATCCTTCGGTTGATCTTCCCGCTTGTCCTCGCAGACCAAACAGATGATGCGATCCTGTGCCCTGATGAGCACGATATCGGGCGTCACTGTTTTCATCGTCCCGCTGATATTGAGCTTGATGGTCCATTGGCGCATGACAGCAGCCCCTTTCGGATATGTGTCGTAGCCCAGCGTCTCGAAGACAGTTGTCATGAAGTCGTCAACGGCGCTCTCCTCGGTACGGAAGGTCGCAAGTTGGAGTCGTGTGAAGAAGCGCTTCGTGGCCACGTCTGCTGATTCGGGAAGCTCCTTGTCGGTAGTATCATGTGAGAGGAGGGAGCGGGTCGAGGTCGACCTTCCAGTCGAAGTTCTGGTTGTCTCCAAAAAATTCGACCTCCGAGATGGCTTCGATTATGATGTTGTAACTATAGAGCTCGTTATGGGTCCACTTGCACGCCGCGACCTCGCTGTGTATGGCCTGCGTGCCATGCGTGCTCTCTTGGGACTCCTGGCTGCTCTCGTCGCTGGCCTTCCTCTTCTTTGGGCGACGTCCCGACGTCCCGTCAGATTTGAGCTCCTCCGCGGTGGTCTTGCGCTTCTTCCTCGGAGGCCCTCCTCGACCTTGTCCGGGTGACTTGTTCACATTGTCCATAACACCAGCGCGAGACGGTCCGCTACGTTTCACCATCGAGTCCGCTTCGCAAGGGTGCACAGAGGGAAGGTGCACGGTAGGGGAACAGTGGGAATGAGATGGCGAGGCAGAGATACAGTAGTTCAGAGCAAGGCAGGAACTCGAGCAGACGAACGACGGAGAGCAACGAGGCTTATCGCCTTATATACGTGCGAGACAGCGATGAAGGTCATGGGGCAAAGGTCGGAGCCGACATAGCTCCGAGCACCCTGACGCCAATAGCTTCCGCTGGCCTCCCTGGCCAATCCGCTGTCTGCATGAGGTTCTGCAGCCCTTCCTTCCCCATCAACACATCGCAATCCGGTCGTTCCGCCAGCGTCGCAGTTGACCGGTCAAGCCATCCGCCAATGCCCTCCAACGGGAAACAACAAGGTCGACAGCTCATCAACCATTTTTTGCGCGGCTCTGTGACCGGACCAATCAACTCGCGCCCGTCTCTCAACAGCTGATCTCGTCCTACCCCCAGCCGCCTGCCCCCATCCACCCTCCCTGCACCCGGCACAAAGAGCACAAGCACAAGCGCAACAAGCGGGGAAGCAGAGGCATAGGTATTGGGGGGATGTGTTGAGCGGTGTGGAAGGAGCATAAGTGCGCGCGTGTGGGTTTCAGAAGCAGGGAAGGTCTGTTGTGTCGCCTTGCGAGCAGGGTCGTGTGCTGACATGGACTCGTGCAGGTGCTGGACATGGTGGGCAAACTAGAAGAGATGCCCCGGCGAGCGCTACTATTGTCCAAGGTATGCGTCCTGCAACATGTCTTCCCTTCCGTCGCTGATTCGTAAGTAGCTCACGAGGTCATCCTGCCCGTCCGCCTCCTGACACCCCGTAGCCCCTCCCTCCACAGCACCACCATCAACGCTTCTCCACACTCAATCGGATGTCCTCCGGGCGGCCGCTCTTCGACTTTCTCGTCCTCTACCTCCGAGCGTTCTCCAGCGGCCACGCGCACCGCTCCGAGCTCATCGGCGCCTTTCGCGACGTCCACCCGCTGCTCGAGCACGTCAGCATCCAGTGTGCGGGCGCGGCAGCCGTCGCCCTCCCGCCCACAGCGCTGCCGAGGGTCAAGACATTCGATTTTGTCAGGATCAACTCGACCCAGCTATTCATGGACACATACTTGCTGTTGCCAAACAGCCACCGGAGTCCGCTGGAAGTGCTGAGCATCACCGCCGGCGCATTCAGAGATGATATGCCAACGCAGCAGCTCTGCGCGCATCGGTGCGGACTATAGGGATACGAGGTGGAGGACAGGCTCCCGGTGCAGAGGCGCCGCCGTGGAGCATCCTCGCGCTCGACTTCGATCAGAGCCTTGTACGTCTCTGCGGTCCAACCCCGTTCACCTCTGCCTCCTGTTTCTTCTCTTTCCTAATCTGTTCCAGCTATCAAGCCAGCGTTCACCCACCTGCAGCCAGCGCTCACCCACTTGCAGCCAGAGTTCAGCACCATCCTCGCTCCTTCCCACTTCTGCACACGCTCCTCTTCTGCACAGACTGCTTGACATCGACCACTGCAAGCAGATGGAGGCGGGCGTGTCCGAGTCTGAGGAGGGTGGTCCGTGGAAGCGCTTAGATAGCTCGGTGACTGGAGGGAGGGACAGGGCGGAGGGGTGGAGGAGAGTTGGGAGAACTGGGTCGTTGCCAGAGTGGTGCTGTGATCTTATTCCGGACCAACGAGCGGCAGTTTGGAGAGGGCGGGGTAGACTTTGGTCCTCGACCATTGTGTCGTAGCCGTCCAGCATTTATAAATGTCAACGAAGTTCCTTGTGCATGCTACATGATTAAGACTGCTGGGGGATGCCCGACTCTGATTGGTTAGGATGCAAACCACGCCGTGCCTGATCCAAACATTGGCACTCGACTCAGAGCCTGTCGTTTGTCTGCTAATTCGACAAGAGTTTCGTTTCAAATGGATTACCCTACCACTGCTATGTTCTTAAGCACCATCAACTCGGGATAGCACGCACCCTAGGCGCTTCCAGCGATTTACGTCCCGGAACACCCAGGAAGACCGCACCGCATCAATCTTAGGGGAGTGTATCGCGACTCCCCGCTTGTGGGCATATCCTCTCCTTCCAAAAAGCGAGTCGGGTACAGTACGAGGTGTCCTTTGACACGCTTCAGCAGCCCTTCCATTTCATCACGTTCCCATTGTTCAAATGGTTCATCTGGCCTAGAAGACCGTTTCTCGCCCTGCGCAGACGTCGTATGTGCGTGTGGTGAAGATGTGTCGTCAATCTTAGTAGCTATTTCGCTGTCTTCATGGGTTTCGGTGGAGATGCAACCGTGGCAAGCCTGGGCAGCATGCAACCTTCAAGATCGAAAATGAGCCCAAGCCCGAGACTGTTTCCCCCCCCTCCTTCCCTCTCCCCATCCTCCATTTGGAGGACAGAGATTGTGGAACTGTTGAACAGGCGAGTGCACAAGCACACGAAGACACTGGTCCCTGCCCCACACTGCTTTTTCAGAGGTGCATCAGTATTTTAACGCATCAAATACTGACTCACCGTTTGTAGATGGTCTTTGCGAGTGCTCTCACAGGAATCCGGGATTCCCCTGAGGGAGATCCCAGTTTTGAAGATGATTGGTTCAAGGCTGCTGGCCTGCAGAAGGCCAGCAGTACTGTGAGAGAGCCTAGCACTCAAGGTGCGTCTTTTTAGTATACCTTTAATTATTTATTTTATTAACTATCTATAGTAAAGCAAAGTTTCTCCGGTCTGGAGCACCTCACACTCTATGACCATTTCACCAAGGATGTTAGCAGGTGCTACCAAGAGCAGCCCAGCATTCTCTACTGCCCTCTCAACCCCAAACTCTCCACTGCCTTCTCTGTGGATAATATCAAAGTGCATTACTACCATGATCCCTATGGCAAGTGGGACACGATGAACAATCTGCAGAGGAAGAAGAGGTGGAGGGCCCTCAAGCAGTGTTTCAATCCTTTGCTTGAGGGGAAGGGTGAGGGTGAGGTTGCATACAACCCCAAAGACCATGCACAGTGTCTCTGGGCACATAGCAACCTCGATGGAACCATCTACACTCAGGCATATGACCCCAACCTGCCCCATCTCCCCTACTGCAAAGGCCCCCCTCCTGAGCCTACAAGCACCCCAATCCAATGGATCCCCCTCCCCCTCTCCAACTTCTCCCCTCTCATCCCCAAGCAAGATCTTCATCTGGGCATTAAAGCCAGTGAAGATCTGGGAAAGTACGGCCCTGCAAGATTCAATCCCCAGGACAAAATGTGGGAGTGGGTCCAGGAGTTTGGTGGTTGGCCAAGCAGCATTGATCCCTGGTGGATCAAGATGCTCGTCAAGCTGCACGACATCTACCTGCAAGCCATGAAGCAGGAACTCAACACCCTGCCCCACTTCCTTGCCCTCAAGAAGTTCTTCAGCAAGCCTGAAGACTTCTGAGGCTTTTTAATAGCGCAAGAAATGCATGATCTCACAGAGATCATGATGTTCAAGTATGCATGCTTCATCTGGCTGCATACTCAGGCAAAAGTTCGAACTCTCACTGGTCTCTTTCGGTACCTGCAAGCAAGCATCAAGCATGGGCACTGGGCCTTGCCAGACATCCTCCCCTCCATCAAGAACTTCATTGGAGTTCTCGACACTCTGGAACTCCCAGAAGGCATCAGGACATGAATTGTCACTGATGGCATCCCGATCCTTTGCCCAGTCCTTCGTCAAGATGTGATCAAGTAGCAAGTGCAAGCATCTTCCAGGCCAGGCTGCCTGAGGAACTGACCAAGCTGCTCTGAAAGAAGATCATATAGTGCTTGTGTTAGGGCAACACAGGCTGCCTATTGTCACCATAGGTAGTGGTGTCATAGTTACTATTGGGTTGGAAATTAGACACAGGGGCTGTAGGCTGATTACTCCAGGAAGCTGTCATAAGCTGTTGGAGCTGCTGAGTCAGCTCTAGGACCTGTGCTTGAAGAATAGAAATGGGATCAGGGAATTCTTCTGCTTGTTCCATAATGGTGGATATGGAATAAGGCAGGTGTTGGGTGTGTGTGGTAAGAGTAAAGGCAGGTAAGAGTAGAGGTGGAGTGGTGAAGCAGAGGTTGTCACTTGGAGACTTGGTCTTCTGTTAGGGCAACACAGGCTGACTAAGTCTGCTCACCTAAGAGTGCCAAGAGTCTAAGCAGGCAACAAGGAAGTGGAGTAGACCTGATGACTAAGATCTATCTACAGTATAGGTACCTGTGGATGATCCTAAGAGACCAAGTCTGAAGAGACAGTCCCCAGGCAGAGTAGGCCTTATATTTATACCTCTGTGGTGGAACCTGCTAGAACATCTTGCTTACTCAGCCTAGTCAGGTGATCAGGTCATATGACCAAGGATGAGGTCATATGAGGTCATACACAGCCATGCATAGCAGGTCACCTGACCATCCAATCCTTCCAGCAGGTTCCAGCACATGCCAAGGTATGCCAGCTACTTCCATGTCATAAAGGCTTAGTCATGTCTCTTGACCAAGCAATGAGCTGGTGCCCTGACATCTGGCCCTTTGCAATATGAATATCATAGAGCCTCTTGCACTCTTCTTTCACCCAGGCAAGTATGAGATTTTCATCCTTCCAAGGCACAATTGCCATTGGATTGGATCTGGAGTGATGCAGCAGCCCTGGAACATATGTGGCCATCCAGGATGGCTCTGTATGGCAGGGCCTTAAGATGCCTGATAGCATGCCCTTCTTCCCTACATCCAGGGCCATGGGGAAGAGCAGGGCAAGTTATGACTAGGAGTCATTGTGTCATTGGATTGGCAAGTACTCACTCATGTGGGGCTGTACAACAATACTGACTGTATGCTAGGTTCTCTCTGAGAACAAACAAGGACTCTGGCAGCTATTCCACAGGTGCACTGTCCATACAAATCACCAACCTCCCCCTGGAAACTCAGTGAGATCCCTCTTTTAGACCTCACCACATCATTTCAACTGAGCCTTGAAAAAGGTTCAGGGTATACAACCTGCAACTATGTGCAGTGCTGCCAGGCCCCACAGAACCCAACAACAACAACCTACAGCACTTCCTACACCCCTTTGTTGATGACCTTCTTACCTTATATCTTCATGGCAAGCATATCAAGACACCCAAGTACCCTAGAGGTTGTCTGGTTTGCACTGCCTTAGTTGCCCTGGTATATGACCACCCAGCCTTATGCAAGATTGCTGGGTTTGCCAATCAAGCAAGCTCCTTGTGGCCTTGTATGCAGTGCAATATCCAGCATGCAGATATTACAAGGCTGCCTCTGCAACAAAGTCAAGCACACATGGGGGTCAAGCATCAACTGCAAGCTGCAAGATATTGTCAATTGGAAGGCACTGTGAGAGAGATATATGGTTGACAATGGGGCATCAAATGGTTGGAATTCCACTGTTTGCCATACTTTGATATGGTGACTATGTCAGTCATTGATCCAATGCACAGTCTGCTTCTGGGTGAGTAAAGTAGTCAACCTGGATGCTATTCACTCCTCCTCTGGTAGGCCTCACTTGCGCACTGTGGTTTCAAAGAGGAATACATACCTTGGGATCCAGAGGGACATGCATGTCTGCAGATGGGAGGGCATAGTTCTTGGAGGCAATGATGCCCTCCTCAGCCATGTCATTGTGGTGGACAAAGCACTAGAACAAAAATTAGGATCATGCTGAACACAAGAGAGAAGGAATAATGTACTCTGTGCACTGCATCCTGCCAAGACTTCTTGTCCTCCACCCTGACCTCCGAATCTGATTCCAAAACTTGGTCCTCCCCCTCTGTTTCATCTGCAGAGGGAGAAGTCATCTATATGAAGTGTTAGCAGAAGTCATATGCAGAAACCGGGTAATAACAACTGGATTCCAGTTGTAACTAACCCAGCCAGACTCACCTGACATCCCTTTCCCTTTCCCTTGTCAACACAAGGAGGACTGAGTGGGTAGTCATACCAAGACTCATCTTCACTGGACTCCTCATCACTGCCAGTGGGGATGACATTTGCAGTCTGGGAAGCACCCTTCTCCTGTGCTTTTCTTGTCAGGAGCATCCTGGTTGGAGCAGGAGGTGGATTGTCCTGCTCCTGTGGTGCCACCTCTTGCTCTGCAGGAGGAGGAGACAATTGTGCAGGAGGAGAAGAGGATGGAAGAGGAGGGGGAAGAGGAGCAGCAGGGAGGGGGGGGTGGGAGGACAGAGAGGAGGTGTAGGTGGCTGCTGCAAGGACAATGTTGGAACACATGGGGGAGGTGAGGCCGGGGGAGCAGGGGGATCAATTGGACTGTGTTCTTCTCCTCCAGGATCTCCAGAGGTGCCTGGAAGATTTTCAGCTGAGGTGGGGGGTACCATGCAGACACTCACAGCAGGTTGAACACCATGTAAGGCTAATTTCTGTTGGCCAGGGTGAGCTAACTGGATCTTAACTGGACTGTAAGTGGGAAAATGGGGACTGACCTTAGTTTTCACCTTGCCTTCTTGGCAGCTCAACCAGAGCCACTGGAGGTCTAACCCCATGTACTTGATGTGGGCAGGAGAGAGGGATGCAAACTGATCTTGATGCTCCTGGGCAAGGGTGTGGATGGCATCCTAATAAGATGTAAGCAAAAAGAAGTGGGAGGAGGATGGGGGATGTTCTTACCCAGAAAGCAGTGATGAGCTCAAGATTCTTTGCCCACACAGTCCTCTCTTTGATGGAAAAAGGCCAGAGCTCTTGTACAGCTCTTTTTGCTGCAGCAGCAAGGATCTTGATGTGCTCAAGAGGGTAATCTTCATTACTCCAATCAGGAGCAGGACCACCACTGCCAATGAAATGCTGAGACATGGCTAAGTTAAGCAGAAGGGAAAGAAGGAGATAAAAGTCAAGCTGGGGTGAGGGGAAATATGGAAAGAGAATTACTCAAGCTGATGCAGAAGTTGCAAGTTTAAGGCAGTTGAATAGCCATGGGACCAGGGCAACCAAAGGCCAGCACTAAGGCCTGGTTAGGCACCTTTGGTTCCCTGAAACCAGGCCTTAGCATGACAACTGGCCTTGCTGGCCCAATCATGATGGGAACCCAAATGCCTGGTTCTGGCATGCCATGATGCTGGCAGGCTGGGCAGGGACAGTGGAAGAAAAAGAATGTTCTATTAGATTGCTTAGGCCATTGGCCTATTCTATTCTACTTTTCCTAAGGCCAAGAAGAAGCATAAATGCACTTCTGGTGGCAACTGGGGACAATTAGAAGCCACCAAAACCGGACCCTAAAACCAGGACCAAACCGGACCCTTACGGAGGTATTCCTTTCACGGACCCTAACGGGTCCTGATATATGGTTCCCGGCACAGGCGCCGGCCAAAGCAGCCAACTATTCATGACAACCTTCTCGTGAATTAGAATGTCTTTAGTATCCCGCCAGAGTCATTCGCCATGTGGGAATTATCACCACGAGCTCGTCAATCTCGGTTCGCCATTGCTGCCTGAAAACATTACTTCGACATATTTTCGGAACCACGAAGCGCTTGGCGGACTGCTTGTTGGTGCAAGGCACCAAGGCTGAACGTCACGCTTGCTGTGGCTGTCCTTATACCCGCATCGTCAGACAGGAGCGTGCAGACGAGGAAACTGACTAGGTCCTGTTTCTCCCCTTCGGAGGGGAAGACCAAGCGAGCCAAGTCAGGGTATTATGCGAACAGGTTCGCACATAGTCTGAGGGTGGTGAGTAGGTAGGGCCGGGGAGTGGAGGCGCCAGGAGGGACTTGATCCCTTCTATGTTGCCGGAGAGGGCGTGGGCAACAGGAGAGGAGAACGGCGAGGCGCCAGAAATCCGCTAGGGGGAAGAGCTCGGTTTCCGGGAGGAGGGTAGCCAGTTCAACTGTAGCGGTCGACCAGGCCTGCAGGATGCTGCTTAGCTGTGCAGGGGGTAGTTTCGCCTGCGGCTCGAGTAGGGGCAGCACTTGTCGCAGAAGAGACTTGTACCGCTCTTTGTCCCCCTCCGCAAGGAAGGCTGACTGTGCTCTGACTCACAATACCTCCGTTTAGCTCCACACAAACTCCCGTCTCACGCTTCCCCTCCCGGCCAAGTTCACCAAATGAAAGATGAGCAGCGAGTCCGGTAAGCGGCGGCACGATGAACAACAAGTCGAGACGAACGAGACGACGAAACGAAGCAAGAGCAACACGTTGAAAGTATGCGTCTATTGGGCGCCATTGAACGAGAGGTGGAACGTGGAGGTGGATCACAAGGACTTGGTGACGGACTTGAGAGAACAAGTGTCGGACAGTCTCCAAACCCCGACCAAGTACGTCCGCCCAATGTTGAGGGGTGGCGAGTTGTATCGGTGCGTATTTGCCATACTCTTGACATCTCCTGCACTTTTGCTGAACCGGTCCAAGGAACCTCGCCCGCAAGGTGCAAGAGAGTCTGACCAACAATACGCTGCAATGCTCCTTTGCGTCGGCATGCTGCTGACAGCTAACAGGAAGATTGAAGATAACGTTCCGAAGGAGAGCAAACCTAAACACATCCATTTCTTTCTGCAGCCGAAAGGTTAGCAACTGTCAAACGGCTGCGCACATGTACTTACCGCGCACAACCAGACCATAATAATAACGTCCCGCCACCGCCGCCTCCTCAATACAACCAGGGGGATCGGAATCCAATTCACGGTACACTCGATCTGTTATTCGCAGGACAGCTGTTCCATGGTACTCAACGCTCTAAGCAGATCTGGGCGCATACGTTGAGAGCATTCGCAGAGCACCATCCCCGTCAACCGGAGCGGTCCCAGCGGCCTTCCAAGATATCCAGCTTCAGTCTCCCGAATACAACGGCCGTGGATCCTCGATGTTAGGCGCACCAAACATGATTCTGTGCGAACCATTCGCTCGGTACGCCGCCAGGCTTCGTCAGACTCCAGATCCCGAGAAGTACCCGGACGGCTTTGCTGCATGCGTCCAGCAGCTCATGCAGAAAGCTTCAATTATCGATGCCGGCCGTGATAAAGAAGACGACCGGAGGAAGAGACTCGAACCTGAAATGCAAGAGATTCTTAAGTGCGAACTGGAGAACATCCAGTATCACCACAGCAAGAGTGGAGGCAATGGGCACTCGCGCGTGACCCTCTTCAAGTTCGGTCACATCTCCGCGGATATCCTAGTCGTTGAATATAAGTCGGAAGTCGGAGCAGGGCCAGCCGAACCTTCCTTCCAGGTCCAGCTGACTGCGAGGAAGGGATGGGGCCAGGAGACCGTGAGATTGCCTCTGAGCTCCAGCTTGATTTTCAGAAAGCTTACGCTCTGACAGAACACCCGGCTTCGCGAAGCATCGAACTGCCCCGTTCTCCTCATCACGCTGATCGGCCCGTTCCTTCAAGTCAGCGGGGTGGTATTCCAACCTGCGGCCATCGTCAATCAGTTTACAGACAATCTCTCGCTGACGGTAGACGCTGATGATCTTCAGCGCCTTGACCGGCTCTGTCACGTCCTATGGTGCACTCGACAATGCATCGAGGACCTCCAGAGATATTACTCTGAGTTGGAACCTCCTGCGGAGAACACGACAGCGAGATGATAGCTCAACTTTGACCCATCGCGATATGTAATAATAGATGCTGTCCTGATGAACCACAATCCCTTCAGATATCCGTCACCCAGTCGAGCGCGGAGGCCGGGGCGTCCGAGTCTCCGAAACAATAAACCCCTTCATGATGTCCTTCTGCATTCGACCCCAAAGGCGAAATGCGGAATATCTCCTACGGGTGAGCCGTATCGACTCCAAAATACTGACAAAGGAGGGCAGGGCACCAGTCTGCGCACAAAGTCCCAGTAGCGGTCTCATCTTCGCTCGGAATTGGAAGAGCCGTATGCGAGCATGATCCCCGTATAGCACTTGCACTCGCACAGCCCTGTCAGGTCACAGACCATACCCTTTGTCCTCAGCAAACGTGGTTTGACACCGTACAGAGCAAGACCGTGCGCGTTTTACCCCCCGCTGGGAGGGAACGATCGGCAGCCCTCAGCCCTGATATTGAGAACCCCGGGTCGGCGCTCGTGTCAACCTTATGATCTTGAACCTGTCGTGTTGGGGTATTGTAGACACCTAGAGGCTGTTTGGCTCAGGCTGTCAGACTCGGCGTGGAGAGACGCAGTTCAGTTCCGTTATGTTTTATCTTATGGACGGAGAGTCCCGGCCGAAGTGACATGTTAGGATGAACGACAGACCACAGACCACAGACCACAGACGGCAGACGGCAGATAGGCCTGCAGAGAGAATTCGGACCGGAGTTGGGAGGATCCCAGTCTTCATCTGGCAGCTTTGGGTCAGGCAGGACTGATACCGATCGCGTTGCGTTCGGAGAGGCAACTGTCGATCATTCAGACGGGTCTGGAGTTGAACGATAGACACTGGTACTGGTGGTACTGGCATACGCTGCTGGAAAGGTTGTTCGTTGGAAGTTGACCATGTCTAGCAGAGATACAATCAGACGTGGACGTGGTGAATCACGTGTAGTTTAAGCGCCCATCCTTAATCGGTGTTACACGTTCGGCGATAACCTCAGTGCAGAGAGCACCGACGACACCCACTCTAGCGCTTACGTGCCTCCTTCCCTCTTCCCACCTTCCCACCTTCCAACCTGTCGTCGTCGTCGTCGCCGCCGCCGTCGCACTACATCCCCGCCGCTGTCGCTGACAGCGTACAGAATAGAATGTCCAAAGTCTAGCTCTACGTGTACCACCTCTCGTCCGGGATGGAACGGTCCCTATCCCTGCAGCTCACAGGGTGGCAGATCGACGGAATCTGGTGCGTTCCTCCCCCGCAGCTCCTCCCTCTGCTGACAGTGTCGTGTTGCGTCGTGTCGTGTCGTGCTTCATTCACCGTGCGCATTCTGAAGGCACACGAGCGTGGTCGTTTTTGGAAAAGAAGTGTTCTATGGCCAGGGGATAAGTGTCGTCTCTCCCGGCACGTCACACGTGTGCTCTTCCTCCTCTCCCCATGCCATCTTTCTCAGTGAGCTTGCCCCCATTATGTCTCCCTGTGGGGCTCTCATTAGATAACTATACATCGGTTGCAGAGCTTCCTTACTGATATGCTCGGCTATTGTCCCCTCTCCTTTCTCTGTCCTCTCGCCTTTCTCCTCTCGCAGAGACACTGACTTGTCCCTAGCCGAATCTCTCGCCAAGTCCTCCACCAATTTACTCAACGTTCGGTCAATCTTCCAAAGAGCTTTATTCCTTTTCATCGGTAACATCATTACCACTGGAAGCACCTGGTGCAAGCAGTGCACCAGAACGGAGAGGGGATCGTCGTGCGCCGCTGCCAGCGCGTTCGCCGTGCCCCACGCATCGAAGGCCGCCGCTATGTGGAGATTTTGGCCGGAGAGGGAGTGAAGTGGAAGGGAGAGCACGGTTTGTGCTATTCCATCCTAGGAAAAGACACGGGATTAGTTTGAGAAGAGAGGGGAGCCAAGTGAGAAAGTCGCGTACGAGGGGAAAAGCGTTGGTCCTACCGGTGCGAACTCAGTACATGGCTGAGATGGTATAAACAGAACCGCACGTCTTAGTAATGTTCAGCCTTATTTGTGCTTCCTCCCCATCCAGCTCTGTCTCCCAAATCCTAGCAACCTATGAGAACTCAGCCTCATTCTTGGTGTTTCATACCTTGCTTCAAAAGCCGCCCTTTTACGCACCTCATCAGCCAGCTTCAAGAAGCACTCGGCATGCCCATCCAGCAGTCGAGGAGAGAATACCCGAAGAAGTATTTGTCGATCTCTGTTTATTTCAATTCGTCATTTTCAGCATACAGACGAACTGGGAAGAACGAACCGCTTATGTGCGCTACCTGCATACAATGTGCTCAGGTCAGGGTGCAAATGCTAACGAGGAAAGGAAAAGAACGGGGACGAGAACGACGCATGCCGTCGTGCGCCAGAACGCCTCCCCCAACCTAAACGCGTCCCCATAGAGACAAGGTCAGTACGGGCTAGGAGATGGGGGGTGGGACGTACCGTAGCATGAATGAGTGCACGGTCCCCCTTACTCCGCAAGAAAACGTTTGATTTGCTGAAGATGTACGCGACCGCCGTCGGGTCCATCACAATGAGGGATGTCGTCTGTCATATCAGTCTACCAGTGATGAACCAAAATAAGAATGTAGCATCCTCGGGTCTCCCCTGTCCGGCCAGCGGCGGCACAACATCTCTCCCCCCCCGAGGATGGCCCATTCCTGAAGCTGGTGCTAATGCTCACCCCCAGCGGCCCGGGCATTCGAAACATGCTCCCCCACTTCAGTTCCAACTCATGATAGCTGGTGCCCTTTCTCAGCCCAAAGATGTGTGCCGTATAACCCAGAAGCCAAGATTTTCTGGCGGGGCCCGGGAGCGACTGATATGAGCAAGACTCAATAACAGACGAGTTGGTGGAGCACGAGTTGAGCGAGGAGGAATGGGAGGAGAAGAGGGGGCAGCGGAACTGTTGACGCAGGAAAAGGTAGAGGGCGAGGAGAAAGAGGAAAAGTAGTGAAGCGGATAGGAAGGAGATCATGGAGACCAGGGCCTTGAGTTCAGAAACTGGGTCGGTTCAGAGCAGACAAGAGATAACACCCACGAGCGAGCAGAGAAGATGACAGACAGTCTTCCACGGTCTGCCCCGAGGATTGATGTAGGGTGGAATATGCAGCGCTTCAATGCAATGGATGCGGGTGAGTGTTCAGGAGACGTGACATTGTCAATCCGAACAATCGGTAACAGCCCACAAACCTGGAGGTCTGAACAGAAGAAGACGATGTTGTCATTCTGATGCTGGGCCATTTGGAGGACAGGTTTGTGTCTGGCCATCACGTTGCTCAGGTCATCAGGTGCTATTTTGACTGGCCATCAAGCCGTCGCGCGGTAGAAAAGCACCCAGCGAGGCAGTGTTCCCGACTTTGATATGATTGGCACTAGGGGCGTTGATATCACCTTCTTCGAGTGCTATCGATTCGACGCTCTGCATGGAAGGCTCTGCGCTCACGAAATCACCAGTCTTGGCAGCGTCTGGAGGAGACTGATTTAAAATGTAAAATCCAGTGCTGTCCATTATTAGCTCACAAAATTGTGTACACTCTTGTGTCCAGGGCCGCCTTCCCTCTACGCTTCGCTTCACCCCTGAGAGGCTCTCCCAAAGTCACATGTACAGTGTAGGACAGCTTAGACGAGGGCGATATCACCCGGAGTAGAGTTGGTTACGGGGTGTTGAGGGAGCAGATTGCGGGTGAGGGCTGAGAGTCGCGATGGCTGTATAGGTCGCGCAAGTCGCTCGGTTTCTTATGTGCTGAGTCAGACCATGGATGAACGAGGTGCTGCGAGGCGCACCTCGGCTGGGTCATCTGAATTCTTTACTATATCAGCCCCTTTGATCTTCGTCAGAAGCAAGATGGCAGTGAATCACTCCGTCCGTATGTCAAGGGTGTACAAGTGCAACTTGACTCCAGCCTATCGAGATGAAAGGAATTTGAGCTCGGAGTTGCTGATGGTTTAGCTAAGAGCGTGCTAGCTGTTAGCAGAATCCGATCGCAAGTAGCACAGGAGTGACACTTTTATTTGGGCTGGTAACACCATGATTGTTCTCTTGTCCTTGCGTCTTCATTAGCGGGGGTTTCTTCGTGGGCAACTACAGGACTTGCCGTCGGACAGTCGGACACGTATCAGGGCTTCTGCTCCGCCTCGGCGACGATGCGCTGCAACCATTCGGTCCGCGGGAACCAGGCGTTGAGACCATGTAGGAAGAGGTAGTGGATCTTCAGTAAAGCCAGAGCTTTCTCCCAGAACGACATATCGAAGCGATTGTCCGAACGATAGAGAGCCTCGCGGAATGTAGCACGGTAGAGACTATCACCTGAACAGGACTCCGGAGACCGCCCACTCTCTTGCGAGCAGGTTTGGCCATCTGGAGGCACCCAAGCGAAGCCACCTGTCTCCTGGCGCCATCATCGAGGAAGGTCATCGACATCGTTGACGATGTCCTCTGGATATCGTGCCTCGCGCCATCATGAAGAGCGGAAGAATGGACACGCCTTCCCAGTCAATGTAGCCGGAAAGTCTCTTGCAGGCTGTAGTCATCTCGTCAGCAGCCGCAACGCCCCGACCGTGACCCTACTCACCGGGATCGTAGATAATGTTTCTAAACGCATAATCCGAAATCGAGAAACATGGCGAACATAGCCAAGGGGGCACCCTCGTTGCCGAAATGAGGCGCTCAACCAACTTGCTGGCAGTCTGGATATCGTTCCAGGCGATATCTACATTCACGGAGCTGTCTGTGTCGTCTTTCGGAAGCACTACTGATGTTTCCGGGACCGCGCCCCAACAGATCAAATGGCTACGGCGCTCTTCCACCAGAAGGTCTCGCCAGAGGTCACTAAGCGAGAGGGCGGCGGTGGGAGGAGGCGAGACAAGCTGACGTGACTTGGTAACTTGGAAGTGCCGGCCCTCAGATAGAAACGGCCCCAATCGAAAGTCGGTATCGTTCAATGGCCGCTCTTCTCCTACCACACTCGTGAAGCGTAACGCGCCGAAGCCCCGAAAAGGAAGGACGGCTTTTGCGAGCGCCGCGTGATGTTTTGCGACCTCTTGGAGGATGGTCGTCTTTTCCGTGGGACCCGAACAATTGTGCCACACATCTTCCAAGGTCTCCCCTTCCACGTAGTCCAGCTGGACATACGGAGATCCCACAGCGTTCTCAGCACTGCCGTTCCAGGCCCATACCACGGGCGTGAGTATGTCCGAGCAGAAAAGGCGGACGTAAGTTAAGGTCGCTACCTCAGATTCGAGGCGCTCGCGGTAACATCGTTTCTGAAGATCGGAGAGACTGTCCATCGGGGTGATGTGTATGCGACCGACTATCTTCCTTCTGCTCCCAAATTGCATTAGCTACATCTTGCTGGGCACTCCAGCAATCGACAATAATGTCAATTCCACCAGATTCCATTCGTCCACAGCCATGCACGCCGCGAATGCCAGAGCAGGAAGTTCGATGCCGAGCCTGACCTTGTGTGCGAACGAAGGATCGAAGAAGCCCTGAGTCGACTTCCTCTTCGGATAGAGTGAGGTCTGGAGAGCGGAACGCGAAGTCAAAGCGCTGTCACCTGTCAAGACGGAACTACTCACGCCTGAAGTCGCGCCAATTTGGGGGAATCTCTTGGGGGCGTTTGAGGGCCGTTGTTGGCCCATGCATCTTGGCTGACGACGCAAGAGCGACTGAGCTACTGTACGTCCTCACTGCGTATAAGCAGTAATCCCGAAAGTAGAGAGTCCCCCACCGACCGAACTTTGAGCAGAACGATGGACGGCGGCAAGAAGCTGTGGCAAACGGCGCACCAGAGGCACATCAGGGTCCTTTCTGGCGTATTTTACCACACAAGTACTCACATCTTTACGGCTCTTTTCGGAAGCATTCTCTCTTACGCCTGCCATCATATTGCAATTTTATCAACGACTTAGTCTCGTCTGTAAGGAATGGATGCGTTCATTCCAGGTGATTTCGAAACTACAACGTCAAACCTCTGCAACAGCACCCACACACAAGGTCAATCCATACCCTAATACTCGATTCTGGGACGCCGACGTGATCGGCGCCGAGGACCTAGAGAACTATCGCGTTGGAGGCTATTTCCCAATCGCCCTCCAGTCAACGCTATGCAACGGCCGCTACAAAGTTCTCCACAAGCTCAGCGGCGGCTCATCCACACGCGTGACCTCCAAGATGGGGTATTGTTGCTATCAAAGTCCTCGGGCCAGACTGGCGAGAGACCGTGAACAACGAGCTCTTCATGGTCGAGCGACTGGGATCCTTTCCAACCGATACGGCCGCGCTGCAGCATTCACGTCTCCCGTTATCCACCTTTCTCGAAGCGAGCCCGAATGGGGAGCATACTTGTCTCGTCCAGCCCCCGATGGGTCCAGTCTCAAACCAAATGTTACATCGTGGTGGATGGAGGAAGGGTCATTTCGAGTGAGAGCCACACGAGTACCTGTTCTGGCCCGGCAAGCGGCTGGGGTTCTCCGCCTGCTTCACCGGATGAGAATCGCGCTTCATGGTGTGTGAACGCAATGGCTGCAGGAACGTCGACATCAGTCTGATACACTCCCAGACATCACGCTCTCCAAGTGGGCATTCCCTCTCCCTGAATCCGTGCGAACATGGATCGATGAGGAGGTGTCCCGTGTCCTTGGATCCCCGGACGTGGCGCCAGTGAGCATGGTGGATGGTTCCGAACCGGGCCCACATGCACCAGCCGAGGTGGTAGCACCCACAGACATGTCGGGTCTCGCAAAGGCATTGAAAGAGTCAATCGTGTGCATTGATGTCGGAGATGCAGTACAGCTTGATGAAGGCTCTCTTCAAAGGCATCCCACCGTCTCGATTCACTATCAGGCCCCCGAGGCAATTCTTGAAAGCCAACTGAGCCTGGCCTCGGACATATGGTCTTTGGCTTTCTTGATATTCTCAGTGGCTACCCCCTTATCGAACCTATCCTGGCCAATGAGCAAGATGTTCTGCGGCAGATGGAGATACTCCTCGCCAAGCCTCCCGGTTCCTTTCGATCACGATTGATCGACCACAATGCAGTGCCGTATCCAGGTAGAGATCTTGTCGGCGGAAGCAGCCAGGAATACTCAAAATTGGGCTGAGCTGGAGAGACACCTGCGGGGTGTTGGCAATCGAGACGAGTCTAGGGCTTCTATGTATGTGGATGCGGATAGATTACCGATATTGGCCCGCTTGGATACTCGACTTACCGAGGAAGACGTGCAGACTTGGAAAACGCTGCTGTCAAAGATGCTGGCCTGTATACCAGATGAACGGCCCGATATCGACATGGTCTGTGCGTGGCTTGAGAAGCCTGGCGAAATAATCATGTCTGATTAATCTAACTATCAAAAGCAGCGAGCCTGTGGACGTGACCAACAAGAGCATTGTGTGGTGTGTGTAAGGAATGGAAGCATGTCTACTCCTGCAAATGTCTTGCAATTACTGATTTGCTTTGTTATTCAGCTGACATTTGCCGAAAGGGCTCAGGGTCCATTGAACGTCACGCGTCAAAGTTCCCCCGAATCTTCACCCCGCGCTCCGTTTGCTGCACAACGTCTAACAACGTTTTGCCGACGTCTTGTCCCGTGAACTGGCTTGAGATGGGCCGCCGCTGGATATAAAGTCCTCTTGCTTCTCCAATTTCATGGAGATCATAACGGACGGGATCGACATCAACAACGGTTCCCTTGATCCACTCCCCATCGTTGCAGAGATGCCCGAAGTCGACCCACGCACAGTGACGGACAAGCTCAAGGTAATCATTGTTGGCGCTGGGTTGGGAGGATGCGCATGTGCTATGGCGATGCACTACGCTGGGTTCGAGGTCGTCGTTTATGAGAAGATCAAGAAGCGCGTCTCCTCGTTCTTATCACTCTACTCAGTCCCTAATGATAGTGTAGGTTCCTCCGACTGGGCGACTCTCTCGGTCTGGGAGAGAACGCACTCCGACTGCTCGACCGCTGGGGCTGCCTAAACAAGATCGTCTCCATCGGTAACAAGTCCCCTGTATTCCACATGCGGCGCTACGACACAGGGGAGATCCTGGCTACCCAGCGTTTGCTCAACATGGCAGGATACATCGGCCACAGGGGAGACTATCACCAGGCGTTCATCGATCGCGTGATGGAGCTTGGCATCCCTATCCATATGGGTACAACCGTCGCTCGGTACAACGAGGATGATCCAAGCGTAACACTCGACAGTGGCGAGACGGTGCAGGCGGATATTGTCATTGGCGCCGACGGAATTAAGAGCATGTGCAGGGAACTAGTGTTAGGGTTTACGGACAAGCCGAAGAGCTCGGGGTATGCGTGCTATCGTACGTACATGCCGGGCAGCAACCTGAAGAACGATCCTTATACGAAGCGCTTGGTGGAGAAGGACTGTATGAACGTTTGGTACATTCCCCTTGTCCTTCCCCCTTCCTATTCTCTGATCTATCTTCTAAACAGGATCGGCCCCGACCTTCATATCGTCCAAAATACCTGCAAAGACGGCGAAGAGTTTGACTGGATCATAACACACAAAGACGAGGCAGACATCCTCGAGTCCTGGTCCCAGCCTGGAGATCCAAAAGAAGCCGTCAAGCTCGTCGCGGACTGGGACCCCACAATCGTGAATGCCATGAAGCTGACAGACACGTGTTTGGACTGGAAGATCGTGAAGAGGTGAAGTGTCGCTCAGGGTTGTTGCTAGTTATAATGGGTTGGAAAGAGGTGTGACTGTACCAATCGTCGGTCCCGTTGCATAGTGGGAGTTGCTCAAATCCAGGTCAAGTAGTTATCTTTTGGGCATACATTGTTCAGCGCAAAGGGTTATAATGGCATTCGCATCCAGGGGACTCTATGACTTGTCTGTCCCTCTCAAGCCAGAGAGAAGGTAGAGAGTTGCCCAGCTATATTAAGCTTTGCTATCTCTCGAACTTCTCCTCGTAAGAGGGCTTCTAGACCCCCAATCGGATACTTGGGGAAGAAAGGGCAAACATCATCAATATCCAGACGGAAATCCAAGGGAAAATGCTGATGAATACCACATCGTGCGTCCCAGTCCCGAGGCGCAGGAATGGGCTTGGGCATTGGCGCATGGACACCATCCAGTTCTGAAGGAAAGGGCAGGAACATTAGGAACTGGGTGCTCCCGGCGAGAGCAATCACGACACATCAGAAAACGAGTAATATCATCCAGATGTTCGAGATCTGAATTATTCCGAGAAATTCATTGCTTTCCTGTGTTCCGTCTAATCTCGGAAGTGTTAACTTGAACAAGTTTTCCTGTGGGAGAGGGACTTTTTGCATCGCTCCTGGCGATTGAAGGTGTCGGGGCCTAACTTCGATAGGTTCAATTGGTTCCTTCAGCTGGGTGTCCTTTGCAAGGACGAGGCGGATCGAGGGATATTTTTGCGCAATAACCATCAAGCGAGAAGAATTGGTTGCAGTCAGAAATACAGTGGAGAAGCCGATGCCTTGGATCACACGAAGACCACTGGTTGAAGGACTGAAGGGCTTCGAAAGCCGACAGCGAGATCCGGGATGTAGCTTCTTGCAGCAGACGGAGCGCTGAATGCGGCGCACAGCTCATGTTCGAGCGAGATCGCGTTTTCAGCATGATCGTCAAACGCCATCGCTGTGATGTTATGACGGCTAATGTTGATGGGGACCGTCAAAAGAAGATCGATACGGTACTTTCCGGAGCTGGTTTCGCGTTGGGAGAGACTGTTGGCAGACAAGCCGTGCGCATCCCGCCGTAGGAGATAAGCAAGACCTTGCTGGACGCAAGGGGATGGATGGCAGATTTCCAAATCCTATGACAGCCACGGTCTTTATGGGCGCGAAAAAGGAGGACGGCAACGGAATCAAGGTAAGATGAGTCTGTCTCCATGGATATCGCAGATGCTTCCCTATTCTCTAAGGAGAAACACAGAATCGAGGATGAAGTAACGAGCCAAAGACGTCCTTGAATGAATTCAGCCACATATGTTCATTCCTGTTCGCCGTTAGGAGATGGGAAAAGCCATTGGGGGAACAAGGCACGCACGTTAGGTCCACAGTCAAGGTTGAGGTAGCACTGTGATTTGATGTCGCGCGCATGCAAATCCGGTGCTCTCCATCGTATACACGAGTGACAACCCAATTTCCGTCAAAGGCAAGAGTATCTGACGATCCATTAGAAGACGCAGCAAGGTGAGACGAGCCCTAGGCCACGGGGTAACTTGGTAGGTGGTGGTCACTGGAGCAGGGTCAGCACATTCTCGGGCAAAGGAAGTGTTCGTAGGCGAGGACGAAACAGAGGTTGTTTGCTTTGGCGACGGCGGCACGAGAACAGGTAACACCGGGCGTTCATATTGTCGGCTGTCAGACGGTCCGGAAATCGTTTCATTAGTCAGACATTCAAGAGATCGATGGGCTAGAAAGAACCATCCGATACCGCTCTGAATATGCCCACTCGAGTCCACATTTTGTGTTCGGAGGATATAAGCTGCAGCAAGGTGCTAACCCCTTGGTTGCTGGCAGGTTCCCGGTCCGCGATGTCGACATCACTAACCTTTGGAGCACTGTTGGTCTCGCAGAGAGAAAGGCATCATTAGCACGTTCGGCGTCATCCGATGATGTACTGGTAGGTTGACTTGGGACTGTCGGCTGCTGCTCATAGTTGGAAGACCGCTTCAGGCGTGGCCCGGATGACACCACCCAAATCGTCGCCAGCTAGTCGCTGTCAGTTGGTCAGATTCGTTTCAGGGCAGCTTCGTCATGTATCTTGTTTAGCAGAAGCAGAATTCTCCAGAGTTGCGTTATCATTACTAGTAGTAGATGGTCGTTCAGGAGCAAAGGCGAAGCGGAGATGAGGGCGGATAAACTAGCTTTGCGCTCAGGAACCCAAGAGCGTTTTGTCACCACTTACCCGCTCCTCACTCTTCGACAGTCACTTCAACAGCACAGGAACGAAAGGCTTCATCTCCGTTCACCGTCGACTCATCAGAAACTTCTGTACCTTTCCTCACACACAACTATGTCTTTCACAATCGGCGTGGATATGGTCGCCGACAGCTTCTTTGACACGACTGGCAAAACAAATGCTTGAAAATGGTCTGAGAGCGTGCCGCAAGACCGCGTTCTGGGCGATCTGCTCATGCGGATCATACTCCACCGTTCTTTTCTCAATCAAGATTTAAGATATGATGAAGCAGATTTGTTGGTCGAGGGAGATGCAACGCTCCGACGCTTGTTGATAGAAGCTGTGGCAAATCGGAGCTTGGACGAGTTGGTCAGGTACGGTTCGTGTATACCTCATTGGGATACATACGGACAACTCACTGTTCAACTAGAACCGATTTGAGCACGGCAATCTCTCGGCGATCTTGATGAAGGCATATTGTTGCTGGGGACACTGAATCGCTGAGTTCCGGAGTGCGGCATATTCGAGTACGGTGGCCATTGTCCACAGGGCCGATAAGAACAAGTCTGGAGCAGTGTATGAAACTTCGGGTCGAGTTCTTGCCTTGCATTTCAATCTCCTTCTAGAGGAGATCGAGACGGGTATGTGGTCCATGATTTCGTTATGGATGCGTTTGACACCTCAGGTGTAGGTGGTGCATATTCCAAGTCAAATCGGCGTGTCCACGATCACATCTTCACGGTACCGTAGAAGCATGAAAACGACGAGATGGAGGTCTATGACATACGATACAAGGTTCTTCTCGAGTATTTATTTACCGAGATGACGACGCTTCTGGGAGAGTATGAGAGAACAGGAAGAGGCCCGCTGACCACCATAGAGGAGCTGGGAAGGGGTTGGCGTACGTACCTTGAGGAGACGGAGGGGACATCGACTGGACAGTATGAGACAGCGCACATTGAGATGGTGCCGAACCTCAAGGTGCAGTGAGCGGCGGCTAGGTGGACTGGACTGCTCATCCCACCTGGACCCGCAGTTTCATATGGAACAGAGTATGGCTACTGTAGGATACACATGACAATTTCGAGGCACTCAATGTCGTCTCGCTCATGCCACTTAACGGCCCCTACCACACTCCGAATATTCAGATGTTAATGTAAAGCATATTGTTCCACTTTCCCTCTTCTGCAACCGGGTGATCGACTACCAAGTGAGTGACAGTACATTTGCATTTGTTCATGCCGCTACAACAAGCCTCATCGGTACATTGAAGCAAGATCAAGGCCAAGGGATAACATTGCCGCATGTACAGATATCCTCCACCATTCCCGGCACCATGACCATGTTCCCATCCTTGTCGAACACCGCATTTCCGTTTTCAGTCTTCGGAACAAGTTCCGGGATCCATCCACTGGCCATGGACTGACATGCCTTACCAAGCCGGATGGTCTTGCGTGCATGTGAGTATATGGTGGCACTCCGTAGCAATCTCCGTTGTGATCCCTGCACCGGGCAGTTGGCTTTCTGCAGCCTTTATACCCGCAGTGATGTGTGTCAGGCACTGAACAGTATCAACATTGCTGGCATGCAGTTCTCTGATAGGATGCTCAACTATTTGTGTACACAATAAGACAAAGCGCCTGGGGGATCTTGCATCAGATCTCTCAGCCCTATGCCAGGAAATGTGCATACTGACTTTGTAGTGACCTGGTAGTCTGCAGTCAAGGTGTGATACGCTGGCAAACTGTTGGGACGACGGAGCCAAAGCGACGGTCAGGAGCCCAAGCCAATCTTACCTTCTGTTCACCATGAGTACACGCACGTGCCACTCACACTTCGTCCTCAATGTATCCTGGGACAGCCTGGACGACATTGTCCGAAGATGGAGCGATCCTCCCATCCTGAATGGAGCCAGACCGACGACGTCACGCGAACAGATCGGCGAAGGGACCTTCGGCGCGGTGTTCAAGTACACTGTCCGTGTTGGCACATGGGAGCGGGTTGCGGCAGTGAAGCTACTCAACAGCGTCACCGGCGTGGAATGCAAGACAGAATCAGAGGTTGCCACGATGTGTATGATCAAAGGTGCGTGTGCATATCAATCTCCATTTGATCCGACTAAACTCCCCGCAGAGCGAACCTGCATCCCCATCCCTGAGGTGTATCTGTGGTGTTCGTCGACGACGAACAAGGTTGGCGCTCCATGGATTCTCATGGAATATATCCCTGGCGACCGTCTCGACGGCACATTCAAGACAATGTCTCGCGAGACTCAGTTCGATGTCCTAACACAAGTCGCTACAATACAAGCACAGTTGTTTCGCCTTCACTCAAGATACATTGGGTCGATCTATCCCTCTCTCGACGAACCTTCTCGCGCTCTTGCTTGCCTCTATCACGAGGACGGTATTACTCCTCGGTCAATTGACGCCAAATATCGACAATACCCCCGCTGGGCTGACCAGGCATACGTCGTCGGGCCGCTTCACGACCTCAACTTTTTGGACCATCCTGGCTCCCCACCCCGCGGACCCTATGATTCGGACAAGGCATATCTCGCGGCCCTTGTGGACCACCAGGACGACGACGTACCTGGCGGCCAGCTGTGGAAAGTGGTACTCGATGCCTTCGCCAGCATTCGGCCAACTCACGCCGGCTCGAACAATCACACGTTTGTCTTCGCTCATGGCGATCTATATGGCCGGAACATGATCTTACAACCAAGCGGAAAGATCGTCGTCGTCGACTGGGAGTGGGCGGCCTTTGTCCCTTGGTGGTTGGCAGCGACAATTGCCGACTTGCCCGTGAGTACTCGGGATACAGACACCCAAGAGCCGATCACACCAGATAAGGCACCAACGGCCCCCAATCCCGATGCATCCATACTTCAAAAGCAGGAACCGCGCCAAGTCCCACTTGCTTGGGAGGAGACGACGATAGAAGAGAGATTGGAATGCCTGGCCGCAAAGTTGGACGACCACGGAAGTTGCCGTGTGGATCCGGGAGAGGAAGATCAACAACGCTTTATCGCGCACATTGACCAGAAGTGGCCAGGCGGGTATTCGGCTGACACCCCCGCGGACGCCATCCTCCGTGCACACTACCATCTGGCTCTCTTCAAACTCGATTCATCCTACATGGAGGCGTTCTGGTCTGGCGCAGAGCAAAGAGCGATTCGCGCGGTCGTAGGAATGGCACCAGGCAATATGTTGGATTGGTTACGTCGTGTGGTCAGATGGTCTGCCAAACTCACACGAGACGGTCTGACCGGACAATACTGGCTAGTACGGCCCACCCCTGCAATGAGGGAATTCGACTGGGTTAGATGGGCTCGAAAGTAGCAGCCACATTTGAAGGATGACCGAAGGACTCGAAGGGCCATCATAACCGTTGAAGTGGGGTTTTAGTACTCTTGTGAACTGTCCCATTGTTAATGCAAGTCGAGTCCTGTCTACCGTATCCTACTCAGCGCTTTGTTATGATGATGGTACGAGTTACACAAGCTACATCCCCCATCATTCGCTCCTCGAGCCCGGAAACGGGAACACCGGCCCCCCCAGTCCGTATTACGTGGTTTCTTCGGAACTTGTCAAGCTCGCAATGTTAAACAGCGGCGCTGTATGTCTGGAAGATGGCAACAATGACGATGCGATGTGGGACGGGCGGAATTCTTTCAGGCGGAAGCTCGCGAGCAGATGTCTCGATGAAAGATCAACAACGTTGTCTCGCTTGGATAGACCAGAAGCGACCTGGTGGATATCGGCGAGATACACTGTGGATCCGCATCCTTCGCGGGCACTGCAACCTCACGCTCTTCAAGCTGAGCCCAGACTGTATGGAAGATTTCTGGTACGGCGCAGAAGAGAGCCATTTTGGCCCTGATTCGAGGACCGTTGTCGATCGCGGCGAGCTCGGACGCGTCCGGTCGCGAGGCGAGGAAAGTCGAGTAGGAGTAGGTGTCCTCCCCGTGCGAGTGGGGAGGCGGAGAGGGCTCTGTCTGCACGTCGGCGACAGCGAGCTCGGCATGGAGTAGTAGACGGGTGGGGAGGGATCGGAGGTGTCGGAGGGCACGGCGCAGGTCAGGCTCGGTGACATGCGGGAATTCCTGGATGTGGTCAGTATGGCGCATACACGTAGGCTGCACTTGATGCAGGGTGTAAAGGGTAGGAGGGAGACGTACGGGCACCTCGCTGTCAACTAAGAAGCACTTGAACCCCTTCACCCCATCCCCGCTGACCATCTCCAACCCACCCTCGTTCCCGGGTATGACCCCACCCCAGAAACCGACGTCAGTCCACACCTGTCCCTCCGCCGCGCGGCGTTTGACCATCAAGTTCGCACGCGTAGTGGTCGGCGGCAGCGAGTTGAGCGGCATGTCGATCAAAGCATGTTATCCCGCCCGCGAGTGCTGTGCGGGTGCGGGTCGCGAAGCCCTCCCATTCGGTGCGGCCAGGCTCGTTGAGGTGGACTGTACATCAACCACGATGTGGTTGATGCCCACCCTGCAGCTCCCGTCCTTTCCGATCATCTCCCACACCTTTCTCACCACTCCGGCCAGCTTCCACCCTCCCCAGCAGCGGCACCACAGAACTGCTCATAGCACCAGCCCCGACCCAGCGCCTCCTCCTGTGCCTCGGCTAGTGCAATCGACTGACGCGAGACGAACGATGCCCGGACTTCTTCGTGTAGCAAGCCAGCGGTGAGCTTGAGCGCAACCTGCGCATGGTAGGGAGCAAAAAACGCGGAGAGGTCGGCGGCGTGCAATGAGGCGGGGTCGGGGCGGTCGATAACGAGTACAAGGTGGAAGGTGATGGTGTCAATGTGGCTAGCCTGCAGGGGGAGGATGGCGGTGGGGTTGCGTGGGCGAGGCGGGTGAGCAGTCGGTGGGAGAGACTGTGTTCACGCTCGTGTGAGCGATCTGACGAGGAAGAAGGGGCGATCTCGTTCACACTCCAAACGCCATCCTTTCGGTGAAGGTCATCGACGATCAGCTCGAAGGTTCTGGTAGGTTGGGGATCGAGTGGCGCAAGGCACAGCCTTACGGAACCTAAACGAGTCAGGCTTTGTCCGACATCTCACTCCACCTGTCATCCGTCCTCACAACTGTCACCATGTCATCCTCAACCCATCCATCTGTTGGCCTAGTAAGCTGAATTCACCTCACCGCAGCCTATCAAGATGGCACTGTCCTCCTCAAAAAGAGTGTTGTTGTCAACCCTAATACCACCATTGCTCACCTGGTTAGGAACATGTCAGTCCCAGTGGCAATCAACCTGGAAGATGTTTATGGTCCTCCCCCTCCCAAATACATCCCACCAACCCAAGAAGGATCTCAAACCAAGAAATGTTGTCCACTACCATGGAGTCTGTCTGAGGCCGTGATCCTCCAATGTGTGCCCTCCCCATCCTCTAACTGTTGACCCTATCGCACCCAGTCTTCTCTGCAGCTGCTGTTGATGAGCACGGCCAACCTCTTACCATGGCCTCTCCCATGCCCCCAGCCAGCCAACCCCTCACAATCATCTACTACCCAAAACAGATTGAAGATCCTGAAGATAGTGAAGATAGTGAAGACAATTACCCTGACATCCTGGGCCAAATACACAATGCTCAAGTCAAACAAGTAAAGATGCTCTAGAGTGAAGTTGTGGCTGCTAATCTCCTATGGGACCAAGCTACCAGGAAGCTCCCTCAATCCCATCCAAATTGCAGCATGCTCACATCTCCACCCAGATGCTCTGAATACTGCAAGGGTGCAACCCCTGCCCACTCCACCAGCATCAAACCTTGAGGCCACTGTTGCAGTTCTGCAACAAACTGTCAGTGCACTGACTGTGCAAGTTGCTGAACTCCCAGCTCTCAAGAAGACAGTTGCTGAAATCCTGGCTCTCAAGAAAATGATTGCAGATCAACAATGGATGATCACAGACCAACAATGGACAATTGACAAACTCCAGGTTCATGTTGCAGCCCTCCTTCCCATCAGTTAAACCTTCCTCATCTTTCCCACCGGTCATCTCACTCTTCCTTCCAGGATGCCAAACACAAGACTTTGCTTGCCCTCCACCAAATTCAAGACTGCGGTTGTACATGCCTTTTCCATGCCTTCTATCCTGATGCAGAAGATGTCCATTGGTATGAGTTTGCCAGCAAACACCCAAGGGAGTCCATTTTCCTGGAGGAGGCTTACTTGGAAAGCCCTCACTTTGCCAATGTGTCTGCCAATGAGGTGCACTGTTTATATGGCAGTCAAGCTGAAACTCTTTGTAGTAGGGGCAACAGTGCCACACATGACTTTTCCAAAGAAGAGCTCACAGTGGCAATCAACACTGTCTCGGAGACACACTGGCCAGCCTATCACAAGTTTTTGGCCATGCCCAAGCCCAGCTTCACCTCTTCCTTCTAGCATGTAATACCTATGCAAGTCATAGGTAGTGAGTTAAATTGATTCTTTCAATGACATGATTGTTTTCCATGCCATTCTTCCTCCCACTCATCCTCTTCATCATTGCCTTCCTTGCATTGACACTGCCCCTCTGGGAGGAAGCTATACAACAATGTGGTTGATGCCCACCTGTGGTGTGAGAGTTGCTGCAAAACATGGCTCCCTCTGTACCAAGACACTGTCAACAATACTATTCTCATGTGGCATAGCAATGACACATGGATGAACATAGCAGTATCATCTAGATCTGCATGATCCAACATCTTGCTGTCGTATTTTCTGTGCCATCCCCCCTTATGAGCTGAAGTACCCCACCCTGGTTCAGTGCATCATTCAGTATGCCAATGTCTTGATATGTCCGCTCTTCATGTGTGACTTCCTCCGCATACTCCTCTCTGATGATGTCTCCAATTCCTGTCCTGTTTGTTTCTGCCTCACTCCAATGCAGTTGTTCCAATGACTTTGCTGTGAGTTGTATATGTCTGGCAAGCCATGTCAGTTGGCAGCTTGCAAGGGAAGGGAAATGAATGCCAGAATTGACAGAATATGAAGCTGGTGCAGGGTGGCAGACCTTTTCCAAGGCACGTCTCCTTGTCTCGCCACCTGTGCTCATTGTCTTTTCACATCTGCTGATCCTCCTTCCATGACCTCTCCCCACTTTCAGCGCTGCATCACCCTCTTATTTTGACTTGTAACTGGGATAGGCCTCAACTACTCCTTCTGTACAGCTGTTCTGCAGAAGACTCAGATTGTTTCACCCCAGGATGTCCTCACATCACACACAGCAGGCCTGCCAGCCATCCCAATGTTGCTGCCTCCCCTTTGCCAACCTGCTTCTACATAAATCAACTTTCTGATGCTTTGGGGCAGTGTGCCTCCCACTCAGGGCAAGTCTCCAGGAACTTGCTAGGACAGTAGAGCTGCTGAGGCTTTCTGTTGGGTGCATCATTTTTGTCTTGACCTTGCTGCCCATGTATGCTGATGACAAGACAAGGACCCAGAAGGTACAGGTGGCATTGCAAGACATTGCTTTTGACAACTGTGGTGATGGTGTCACCCTGATTGTCAGCATTGATCATGGTAAGTCACACAAAGGGGGTGGGAAGGGAACTGATATTGAACACCATTGGCTGATTTGATAGGACAGATATTGACTTTTGGCCCCTTTGCTGGAGGATCAGACTGTGTGGAGTCAGCTCAGCCAATGGATTGTCTCCACACTGACCATGAGATACCAGCTTGTCAGCTCACACTGCACAACCAACAGGTTCAATATCAACACAGAGCTCAACCAGGTGACCACCAACTTCAGACATGAGCTGCAGAATGGAGAGAAGGTGAAGTGGGCATTTGGTGCAAGAGCAGACTGGGCCAGTGCATTTGCTATATGTTGGACCTGTGTGTGGGACATCTTGCTTACTCTTGTATAGGTGTGGCAAGGCAAGCTGCCACAAGTGCAGTTCAGAGCATGAAGGCAGCAAGGGTGTGCATGCAATCTCAATGTGCTGCCCATGCCTCCTTGAGCTTTCTTCCAACATGAGGCTGGTGATGCTCAAAGCAGAGCAGGTACCATGTCAGGAGATTTCCTTTGCTGGGATGAGATGGAGTTGATGGTGCAGGCACATGAAATCTTGATCCATGGGGTGCCAGCACACTGATGATGTCGATGTGACTAACAGGCCCACAGCACCAACTACATGCATGACACCCACAAGGCAACATTGCATGGAAAGACCATTGAACTGGACCTGCTGCACCCAGACCATCCAATTGACCCACTCATGTCACTACATCAGCCAGCTGTTCCCAGGACAGCTGGTGCTGGTTCCAGTGCTGGTGGAGGGGTAGGAGATGGTATGGTGCAGCCCACGGCATGGCCTCTGAATCCTCTGTTGCCAGATGCAGTTCTGATTTTCCTCCGAGCCAAGCCACCATGCTTGCAAATTGAGGGCAAGAGGGAGTGGGAGGTTATCACATGCTCAATGCTCACTAAAGACAACACATGGATATCATCACTCTGTAGTGGGTATACACTACAAATCACTCTCTGGCAGTTTGGTGTCTGTTCTCCATGCAGCACTCCATTTGACTAACTGCAAACCCGATGTCCTCAGCTTGGAAGAAGCCACCCCAGGTGGCACTTCACCCTTCCCATCCCCACCCCAGCACAAGGGTGAAGCAGTCTCTATGAACCTCATCAGTAATGCATGTGAGTGCTTGGATGGGGTGGGATGCTCCTGTTTTCCCACTGTCTCCCCTTCCATGTGACCAGCATATGATGGTCTACAGTACAAGTCCTATCAGTCATGAATGTAGATGCTGGGATAGTCAAAACACACCAAGGGATTTCCTCCCCTTTTGCCCCATACCATGTGGGAGGTGAGAGGGGCCAGATGGTGGAGGCAGAGGGCTGATGGGTGCTAGAAAGCCAGAATGTCAGCTGGAACATTGCGAGGAAATGCAGATGCACGTACCAGTGACAGTTCGGCCTTGTCTGCTGTGTAAAGAGAGGTAGGGGGTCTGTGGAAGGTGGTGATAGCGAGGAAAGAGACACACCTTGACCCGGGGACAACCACCACAGCTCCCCACCCCAGCAACCCCACACCTCTGATGGGCACTCCTGATGAGAAGGGGTTGGAGGGAAAGCCAAAGAGCAGGCTCACTGAGCTTTTGCAAGGGGTGGGTTAGCATCCTGCTTCCTCTCACCCATTTCCCATTGTTCTGGCTTCATTTCCCATGGTATCCCTCTGCAACCATCTACCATCCTGGTGTTTCCTTCATCTCCCTCATGTTCACTTTAACATCAGCCAATAACCTCCCTGCCAAGGTCAATATCCTGCTCCTCCCTGTCCCCATCCCTCCTGTCCCTCAATGGCCTGCCCATCCTTGCACCCTCTTCCACTCCAACATACATTTTCCTTGTTGCATTCCCTTATTTTGCTTTTCCCCCTCCTCTATCATCTCAACCAGGGTCCCCATATCCATTAGTTTCGGTAATGCAATATTTTATTCCATTTTTCATCATTGATGCTGGTCCGCTTTGTCCTTGCATGAGGGCTGGAGCCCACAGAGCCTCCCCCAGTCAAAAACTCCTTCAGCCAAACTTCACCAACCACTCCTTCTGGTCCTCCCCATTTTCTCCTCTATTTCTCTCCAGTAATGGTGTCACCTACTAGAGATCCTGCTGTCCCTAACATTATCTACCCACCTTTGCATTGTCAGCACTGTTGACCATTGTGTTCCCACTTCCAGCCCCTTTCTGTATGAGCTTTAACCCCTGTCATGTCATATTTAATGTTAACCACTTTTTTCAGAATGGCACACTCCAGCCAGTTTCTCTCAATACACTCTGTGTATGTCTCCATCCCTTTGCTGCCCACTGGAACCCATCATCTCCTCTGCCTCCCCATCTCAGGGCCCCTGACAACAACTGTTCTTTTTTCTTCAATGAATGTCTTTGCTCTGTATAAGGTTCTTGTATCACCTTGTTGAGCTCAGCCCGACGCCATCCCGAATGGACCACAGATACAATATGTGAGAATTGGCTTCCTACTGGTCAACAATGTGGCCTTCCTTCAAGTCACCATCTGTCATACACATACTCTCCTTTACAAACCATCAATCTGTCTGATATTTCTCTCCCCCCAATCCCATTGGCACCTTCAATACCTGCACCCTCCATGGAAGGGTTGTCTTGCTTGGAATCTCCCCTTCCATTGATATCCCAGGGTCTTTCTCAGGCTCCCACCACCATCCCTCCTGCCACCACACCTTCTACTTCCTCAATTCCTGTCAATCTTTGTGCCCCACATGCACCTGCCCCTCTTGTCCCCATTTTTAACCCCATTGAAACCCTCTGAGGAATCCCCTTTGTTGAGCCCTGGATTGGTGGTACATTTCAACACTGTTTGGATGCCACCTCCAACTGTCTCTCTGTGAACGATGAACACCTCTTACACTCCCAACAGTCTAGAACTATCCCTGCTTGGCATGGCCTTTCCAATACCTCAAGCTTCATTTCAAACAATTGGGTGGCTATCAAGCTACAGTACACTGTTGTTGTTCTTCCAACCTGTCAGGGTATGACCCCTGCAAACTCCTATGCAAACTCCAATTTGGCCCAAATGCCACTGTTTCAACACATTCAACCTCATTTGAGGCTATCAGTGATTGTTCACCTTTCACAAGGACTGAACACTCAAGTCACTCATTTGCTCAAGACTGTCAGTTATGTTGACAAGAGTTTCGACCCCTTCATCAAGTTGCTAGGACACCCAAAGGACTTTGGGGCCTAAGGCATAGGGGTTTGGGGTTTGGACACCTTTTGGACCAGCTGATCAATCATGTTCGACTCTTTGCAGGCTTTGGTCATAGGCCTCAGCAAGGCTTTCGACAGGTCGAAGACAAGTAGCCACCCTTTGGCAATTTCAGCTACCCACTCAAGGTGCCTATAACTCAAGTATAGGTGATCAGGATCAGATCAGATCTCAAAGCATGTTTCGGCCAGGCTTTGGCTGACAATCAAGAAGTAGGGGTGAGCTCTAGTGTGGAGATCAGGGGACTTCACCCATGATCAGGAGACCTTTGGTCACAAGGTCTGCCCTGAGATAAGATGGACAAGTACAGTTTCTCAGCCACAGTCTATTGCTTCCTTTTGTTTCCTCTGGCATGTATATGTAGACACCGGTTTGAGGGCACAGAAGCCTCTCAAGCCTCAGATTTGGTCTCTCAGGACTCCCACCATCTAGTATGACCCAAAACACCAATCTCCCTTGAAGGAGGTCAACTGTCCATGATCATGTTGATTGACCTCAGGTAGTAAGACTGAGGTACTCAATAATCTGGTGACACACCCCAACTCTTTGTTGTACCCTCCAAAGGCTGGTGCTCTAGCCAAGACTGTTGACTTCCAGCCAACTGGTGCCGATTTATCTGAAGTCTCTGCTGACAGGCCACTCTCCTAGAGCTGAGAGGTCTGACCTGTGCTTGATCTCTCTGAAGGCTCATGAGGTAAGCCTGACACCCCTTCTTTCAGCAAGGTTCTCATCTACAAGCAACCGAACCCCTGACTACACCCCTGATGGCTCACCCCAATTGCCTGATGTCCATAGCAATTCTGCTGGCATTGCACTATGCTGCCTAAGTCTAGGTGACAGGCAACTCCGGACTCCTCCCCATCTGACATCCCCTCAATTCTGCCCAATCAACAAAGGGTTACCATCAAGATCCCATCCCCTCCCACTGATACATGTGCAATACCCCCACTGACTTCCAAAGGCATGGCTTTGTCCTGCCTGAGTCCAATGTTGACACAATTGGTCATCTACAGCTCCAATACCTGGTTGACTACAACATCCCCCCTACTACCATTTCTGATTCTCCCATACCAACTTGTGTAACATGCCAAGCATGGTCAATTGTCAATGTATCGGGATTATCAACCCTCTTCCCATACCACCCTCACTACTCCATGTGGCTGACATGGCCAATACCATGAGAGATCCCAAAGCAGGCATGCGAGGATGACTGAGAGGTCTGATGTCAGGCTTTTGGATGATTAGTGGTTGTTTGGCAGTCAGGTCACCCCAATAGGTTGCAGCTTTGCCCAAAACCTTTGTGTTTGGCCTCCCCTCGATGGTGTGCCCTGACACAGCCCACATGAGCAGTCCTTTCATCCCTTCCATGTCATTATGTCTTACCCTTATCATGTAGCTCCAAGGTGATGCATAATTTCCTGTCAGTACCCATTGAACAACCCCACCTCTGGTGGGGTGTGTCAGGCCAATATTCCCACAGCTATTTTCGGGCCTTAGAGACCATTGCATGGCACTGTGGACCCTCACTACACAGACAATGCAACCCAGCAACAAGTCTTGACCCCCCCCCCCCATGGATATTTGGCATGGCAACTACTAGGATATTGACCCATCCGGATATTTGGCATGCCAATGTCTGCCTTGGAGAGGTATCTGGAGACTGGATTCATATAGAGTATAGTTTAGAGTAGCTAGTATAAGTAGTTTCCAGAAACTCCTGTATCTAGCTTATTCTGCCCCTTTTCCATTAGCATTATATGGATCCAATTATCCTCTTACTGGATAGGCAGACTTGACTCAGTGTACTTGACTTGACTTACTGTGACACTTGACTGGATGGACACCAAGCTCCAATTTACCAACCAATTTCTGACAGCTCAGCTTCAGGCTGACTCCGGCATTTCCTCTGATTTTCCCCATCTTTCCCCTCTTTCCCTAGTGAGTTCTCACACACCACCCATCAGACCAATATTTTGGACACCTTTTGGGTTGGATCACCATTGATGTCAATATCATGGTGTTTGTGGGGAACCTTTGTTATGCCTCTTTGCTGCCCTCTCCCAAAATAATCTCCTGTTTCAAATTGATCTCACTCTCCAGTTGACTGTAGAAGAGTTCACAATCTCAATAATCTCCTGTCTCAGTGGCTGTGGTCTCCACTTTCCTTCTCCACCTATTTGCTCCCAGCACCATCTCTCCCCCCCCCCAACACAACCTGTCACACAAGCTATTTCATTTTGCCCTTCCAAAAACTCCTAGGCCTGGAGATCCTTCCCCAGGGCCTTACAAACCTGTTTGGGTCAATGCTAATCAACCTGTTGCTTGTCAACTTTCTAGACTTTACTCTGATTGGCCTGATGAATGCGATCTGCTTCAGCAGTGCCTCCTTGTTTTCCTTGGTATGTTCTATCCTGTCTACTCTCATTTTCACTGACTTGAACCATGCACCAGTTCCACACCATGCCTCTCTAGTTGGACCCATTATTCCCAACTCCAGCGAGTCTCACTGCTGTTTTGCTGCCTTTGTTTTATGCAATGTTGCTCACCAACACCTGAGAATCCTGCACAACCCTTACACTTGTGATGGTGCTTGTTGTGTTGTGCCCCCCAACATCATCTCACTGGCTTCAGCCATATCCATGCCCCATTCTCCACCTGACCATGTCTTTCCTACAACTTCTGCCTCACTGCTGACCCCTTCTCTCCCACCACTTAACCCCCCCCCTACCCACATCTGGATCTTCATGGCCTCTCTCCCAACTATTACCCATGAATTCATCACCTCCTTTCCAATTGAACATCCCCACCAACCTTCCCACATCCCCCATCCAGGTTTGTCTGGATCTTGAAAGTGTGTCGCCATACCATCTGTCCTCTGATCCCTTCATTGATCCCTCATATTCTTCCCTGCTTGATATTCCCAGCAATGCTGAGATGACTATCTTTCCCAGCTACACTGCTGTCTCTCATGTGTCTAACCTTGCCAACACTAGTCCCGCCTTGGCCCTCCGCACACAGTTGCCCAATCAGCATGCTACAGGGACACTTCTGTCCTTTCCCCCTCAAGATGAGGAAGACTTCCTTGATCTCACAACAGATGAGACTCCCACTGGATGCGGAATAGGGTCCACTATGTAGGACCCAAAGTGCTTTAGAGTCCATTTCGAGCACTTCAGGTGCAGTTTCTCCAAAAGGGTTTTAATCAAGCACTTTTGGATCTGCCCCTGAAATGCTTTTTTTGATTGAGGCCATTTCCCAACAAGGACTTTTGGGCCTCCATTAAGCACCCAGAGCACTTGCACAGCCACTAAGGGCCTTGTATGCATGTCTGGGCACCAAATCATCTCCCACTGCACTGTGCATTGGCACTGAAGTTGAGTCCCTTCAGGAGGCCCCCAGGTCATGCCAATCATGACCTAGGGCAGTGAATTACCTTGTGTGGAGCTGAAAACCATATCTATTTTATTAACTTATTTACAAGCCCCAAACTGAACTGTCACAGTACCCACATGTAATTCCTTACCAAAAGCAATCAAATGTCATTCTTCGCTGAAAATCATACAAGAGCTGGAATAAGGTGCTTGAAGCACCAATGAAGCAGTGATATCTAGTCCCTACAACAACAAAAGCCAGGCCAAGTGGGCTCAAAATATCTTACAGAGACTGGAAATCATGTTAATATGTACACAATGCAAATCTACAATCAGGTACTTACCTAATCCAAATTCTCATCATCAGATTCACTTCCAGCCAAAAGATCTGCAAGGTCCTTGTCACTGTTGTCAATATTGTCATTGTTGAGCTGTACTGCAGCTTGCTCCATTGATTTATTGGATAGAATGCTTCTTGCCCCAAGGGCTTAGCAATGACCTTTGGAGGCAGAGGTGCCTTGTGCTTTGCCAGCTCAGCTATGAGTGACTTTTGAAGTTTCTCCTTATCTGCTTCAATAATGTCAGATATGTATGTATGTGTGCAGTGTTCAAGACATACCTTTCATAGACATAATGATTGCCCCAAGCTCTACAATCCTTGCATTCACCTCAATAAGTTCCTCCTTCTTTGACTTCTTCTTGGAGAGGAACTTCTGCATGTCAAGGCCATTGTTGAGCTGCTTGAGAGGCTGCTTCTTGGTGCACTTGGACGGGGGCTTGTCTTCTTTGATATCACATACCAACAGGACATGCTTCTCAGGCTCTAGCAGGGTTTCAACAGGGTCTTCATCAAGGTCATCCTCAGTGGAGAGGGCAAGCACAACAGAGGTGGCATTGCAAAATGGGGTGGGTGGGTTCTCCTTGTTCCCTTTCCCCTTGGCGCCAACTTTCTTCTTTGACAAAGTGTTTGTTGGAAGTGGAATGTCCATAATCATGGCATCAGACTCATTGTGGTTGTGCATATGATGTCTACCAGCCATACTTGGAGAGGTGTGGAGGGGGTGGGAGCATGGTGGTGGAAAGCAGCTGTTGAAGAAGTTGAGGAAGAGGGAGTCACTGGGAGGGCTGTCAGAGCTCTCAGGTGAGGGGGCCTGTTTGAGGAAGATGCTGAGGGAAGGGGTGTCAGTGAGGTCTGAGCATAGGATGGGGAGAAAGGTATAGGAGGAAGTCAGTCCCATTATATACCCCTCAAGCAGAAAGTTGTGATAGCAAAATCAGTTGCATACACAGATCATGTTACATGCCAAGAGATGGTTACCCCAAACAAGGGCAAAAATAAACCTGATATGGAAATTCCGAATTGATGGATCACTGACTTTTTCTGGTCCCAGAGAGTGGGGCCCACTGTTTTGTTTACCTCTCACCATGGTAAAGGCAAAGGCAGAGGTCCATCAGAAACATCAAAAAGGTCCTTGCTCTCACTGTGGCAAAATGTTGTCCCACACCCAGAGATGGCAGCATTGTCAGCTGGCTGAAGCACTAGCCCTAAAGAAGGTCATCATCACCTGGCAGGAACAATTTAAGGAAGAGATGACTCGACTGGGGCATGAAATACCACCTGTGAAGGATCCAAAGGATCTGTGGAATGAGCTGTTTGGCAGTGAAAGAGAAGGGGTTGGGTCCCAGATGTCTCTGCCAGCAGGCTACCCAGATTGGGGCAGGAGGAGCCAGAGCTGGAGCAGCAGCAGGAGGAGGAGGAGGAGGAGGAGGAGAAGGAAGAGGAAAGTTGGGAGTGAGAATGGCAGATGCATGACAGTGAGGGGGAGGGGGAGGGGGAGGGGAAGACCTCTGGCATTGAGGAGTTGGACAAGGAGATTGCTTGAGTCAAGAAGGGTACCTGGTATGTAATCTGTTCCAAACAGCTTGGGTGCCACTCACACAATCCAGACAACCTGTTGGCAGAGGATGAGAAGATATTCACCACATTCTATGCAAAGATGAACAGACACTTCACAAATGTGCAGTACAACACCCTCAACTTCACCTATCCCAATGTCTTCTATGATCTCCCCTATATTGAATGACACATTCAACATGTCTCTGGAATGAAGCCCATCACTTACAATTGCTGCATCAATTCCTGTGTGGCATACATAGGTGCCCTTGCCAAACTCAGGTGTTGTCCACACTGCAGTGAACCAAGGTTCAAGACAAATGGCAAGCCTGCACAGTCATATCATTATCTACCAATCATTCCTCAGCTTCAAGCTCAATATGCTAACACTACTAACCTCTTTGCAGGCATAACCTGTCTCGAATCCTGCATGGTGCCTGAGAGACAAGTGTCTGCACTGTCCATGATGTATGATGCCTTCTAGCACTGTGTGGAAGCCAAGTCTGCCCTGCCTGACCTGCAAGTGGTGTTCCCTTTTCTGGAACAGATGGCAGCCAAATGACAAGTATGCTGGCCATCATCTCCACAGGCAGTAGCTGTTTGCAAATGGGAAGGCATGCTGGGCATGGCACTTTGGCAACAAAAAGTCCTTGACAATGACTGGGACAACAGATCCAGAGCACCTGCCCCCTCTGCCTCTCCCAAATGTGAACTTGAGCTGTTTACCTGGCCATTGTTTTCCCCATCCTCTCCCACAAAGAACTACCGAACATCTGAGTTCAGCACAAATTGTGTTCCAGATAAAGGTTGGTGGCCTCATGGGCAACTATGGGAGATAGCCTACCCATTGCCAGACAGCTTCAACTACCCTCCCCTTCTTTGACTTCACAATCCTATAAGCTTTGTGATGCAGAAGAATATGCACCCAGTGGGTTGCCATCACTGGTCTCCATGACAATCGAACCAGTCAAGATATTCACCTCCAAACCAGTGTTGGAGGGAGAGATCACCAGCTCCTTGCAGATGTAGAGATCATACTTGGTACTCCAGGTCACCTTCTCCCTACAGTCATTGAAGGCAGTACCATAGCCAAAGCCGCTCAGCCTTGCCATCACCCCACAGCCATCACAGGCATGACCATACCCAAAGTCATTCAGCTTTGCCCTCACAAAGGTGTTGCTATGTCTGCTACCCCTCTCCTGCTTGCGACATCACAATGGAAGCATGACCACCCTCCCTTCACCATGTTGTATCTGAGTCTGTAGCTGCAGTGCCTCTTGATCATGCTCATTCCAATGCCAACAGGAAGAGCATGATATTGCAACATGAAGACCTCAGCAGAGAGATGGATAAGCCCATGGAGGTGGTGTCAGAAATGGAGGAGATGAAGGCAGAGCTGGAACAGGTGATGCAGGAGCTGGAGGAAGTGCAACAGAGGCAGAAGGAGCAGCAGCAGCAGTGACTGTGGGAGTGGGATAGCCAGCAGGTCTGGCAACAGCTGCAGGAATCCCTGCAGCTGCAGTAGGAGAAGCTGCGGCAGGAGCAGGAACAGGAATGGCAGGAGAAGGAGTTGTGGGAGGAGGAGGACATCTTCCTGGAGCAAGAGGACTATCTGGAGCAGGACACTGTCATCGACATCAAGGTGGCTGCCATCGTGGAGCAGGAGGGACCAGAACAAACGTCTGTGTCTGGGAATGCTGCCCCTCCCCTCCCCCCTCCTCCCATCAGCACTACTCCTGCATTCCTAACTCGACGCCTGGTGTCACCAATTGACTCCCTCAGCTTGTACTGCACTCCCAGTCCCATCCCCATCCTTCCAAGATTGCCTTGCCCTCCAACACCATCTGCCCCTCTGGTGGCTGCTGTCATGGAGCAAGGGGAACCAGAACAAACCTCTCTGTCTGGGAATGCTGCCCCTCCCCTCCCCCCTCCCATCAGCAC